TATAATAATAGATTAGTACACAATTGTATGTCAACACATTATTTATTACCTTAAACTGTCTGGAATTTATTATTAAAGGGTTGCGCTTGCGTAAAATTTACTATCGTGGAAATTCAGCTTTTTTGCCTTTTGGCTAATCTCATCCCTGTTTCAAAGAAGGGGGGAAAGGTTGTGTTTTCTTTTCTTCAATGACTGTGGCTAGTCATCAGAATAGATTGCCTGTCATCTTTCAACCTGAAGATAGTTTTCTGATTTCTTTGGTTACAAAAGTGTGAAACGCAAACAATTTTTTTTCTCACAGATTTATTATTTCTTTGTTTTTATCATGTTTCTATTTTCACTTGCTGTTGAATGATTAGTGAATCGTTTTCAATCTTTACTATTTATCGGGGCACGTTCTAATGCCCCAATAATTTACCTTGAAATAGTTGAGACTACTTTTTATCTTTAGATCACATTGAAAGAAAGAAATAACTTATCATTAATTTATTTTATTAGTGAGCGTTTTATTATAGTTTTCTTTCTGTGTACTGATTTACCAGTTTTATGCTTGACTTAGTATCAAATTGTCCGTTTTATTTAAAAAATGTTTTGAAGTACTACTAAATCAAAGATCTGTCCGGACCAAATTTACTACCGTTTAGCGATACCTTCACAAATTCAATTTTAGGCAAAACGGTAGTTTCACTAATTCAACTTTAGGAAAAACTAGTTTCACAAAATACTTTTTCGTGAATTTTTTTTTTTTGTCGCTTAAGAAACGATAAATCTATATTTTTACCATGTTTTTGTGTCGGTTTTTTAACATAATTTTTCATTTTTCACAAATTATGTCAAAATTTTCACAAAATAAGTACCTTTCAGAAAAACCTAGACAGATCCCTGTAAATTATCTCTAGATGGCCATCTGTTGGCCACATATTAAAAATTATTTACTTTTTATTTTAGGAAGTTGATCTTAAAAATGGTTCATGATACTGAACTTCTCATTGATGCTCCTTTTCCTAACTCATTATTATTTTAATGTATTATAAAATTCACATTGAATAAATGATTTTATGTTTTATTGTTTTAACTTGTATTTTTTAAGTTTTGTTAATTTAATAAAGTTTAATATTTTTTATAGCCTAATAATCCTGAAAATGTTGGAACTGCTTCCACAGCAAACTCCTCCACAGAAAATGATTCTAGTCTAAGTGGCTCTAAATCTGAAGAAACTAGTGGAGAAAACAGGACTCCAAACACTAAAAATACCGTAAAGACTTGTGGTGATGAAGTTAAATGTCAAAATGACAGTGACAGTATTATCTCTGTTCAAACAGCTGATACTTTACCTAAAGGTGAGGTTAGTGCCGATTCTATTAATAGGACTAAGCCAGTAAGTGAATGTGCTGATGGCATACATTGTGGTACGGATGATGAAGCCGAAGAAACGCCAGCATCCAAGTCTAAAAAAGTCTGTGACGATGGTATTCATTGTGGAACAGATGATGAAGCAGATGATGTATCCAATAAAAAAGTGTGTGAAGATGGTATTCACTGTGGTACTGATGATGAATCAGATGCAGTAGATCACAAATCAAAAAAAGTGTGTGATGATGGTATACATTGTGGGACTGATGATGAAACGGAAGATGCACAAGTTAAAGTTAAAAAAGTTTGTGATGATGGCATTCATTGCGGTACTGATGATGAAGATGAGCAACCTCAAGGTAAGTCTCGTAAAGTGTGTGATGATGGTATCCATTGTGGCACTGATGATGAAAGTGAACAAACTCCAACCAAGACTCGTAAAGCTTGTGATGATGGTATTCATTGTGGTACAGATGAAGAAGATAATGGTGAAAAACTTGATACTTCTGAATCTACTGAAACATCAACTAAAGACAATACTAATCAAAATGATACTCCCGGTGAAAATAGTGAAAATATTTCTGTTGCTAAATCACAGAATAGTGAAGATAAAAGTAAGTAGATTAATGTAATAATATTTTTCATTTTGTTTTTTTAACTTGAATTAATTATCTTATGATTACTTTTTTTATATGTTTTTCTTATTGCTTTGATAACTATTTCTGGCAACTTTCAGAATTAACCGATAAAAATATTTTAAATATGTATCCGCGCGCCTTTTATATGAGACATTTCATTTTTATAGGAGGACCTACAAAGTAATGAGCGTTTCTTAAGTTAATTTTTTTTCTTCTCATTCACACAGGTTTCATAAACGTATCACTTATGCAGGCAGTAAATCATAAATTTTTTCACGAAGTTATTTTTTAAAAAAAAATTTTTTTTTTTTTGCATCAATATTTTTTTTATTTTGCTACTTACTACCCCAGAAGCAGACAGTGCCTAAACCAGTGCCTGCGATAATAATTCATAGTCATTAACAAAATTTTACACTTCAAAAGTGATTGAAAAAGTAACAAATCAAGAATATTTGCCTTGGTTTAAAAAATAATGTAGAGTATCTGTGTATGATCCTGTATTTTAATAAATGAAAATATAGTATTTTAACGTAAAGCTGACTTTTTTTCGCTGTGAAATGCTTGCAGAACATTTGTATAAATTAATAAGTCCTGTTGCAGAACATTTGAAAATATTCTGCGTCTGGGCTTACTACTGATTTCAAATTGAGTTGAGAGCAGAGCCGGATTATACCTCTCGTAGGCCCTAGGCACAGCCGTTTATGGGCCCTCCCCTTCTTCCCCCACTCCTCCCCTCTTTTCAAAATATATGCTAAAATTCTCTTCGTATGGAAACGTATTACGCCATTTTAGATGTATTAATTTCAGAAATGACTAAAAGGCGTAAGGCTTACAGTGATTTGTACGATAATTTCGGTTTTCTTGTTCACAAAAATTTGTCAGAATCTGAGATTAAACTAAAAGCACAAAATTTGGTGAAAATTTACTCATCCGATTTAGAGGAAAACTTTGTAGATGAATTTTTACTATTTTCAAATTTGTATGAACATAAATCTGCACAAGAAATGTTGAAGGCTCAAATTAAAGATAAACTTGTGAATACTTTTCCTAACGTTCACATTGCATTAAGAATATATTTGTCGATTCTTGGATCAAATGCAGAAGGAGAAAGATCTTTCTCCAGATTAAAATTGATAAAAAATTATTTGCGTTCAACAATGAATCAAGATCGTTTGGCATCGCTCGCACTTATGTCTATTGAATACGACATTTTGCGTAGTTTGGAATTCGACAGCATAATACAAGATTTCGTTGAATCCAAAAATCGCAAAAAAGTAATATATTAGATCATAAGATTCTGCAAAATAATTTATTACTGAAAAATATTATATTTTTATTTGTATCTTCATAATTTTGTGCAAAAGACACTTGTTGTTTTTAAAGCTAAATTATTTCGACAACAAATTTTTTTCTCCCAAGTTTTTCGTATGCCCTAGACACGTGCCTAGTGTGCCTATAGGTTAATCCGGCCCTGGTTGAGAGGTATTATTCTTAAATCATAGGAAGATAGCTTTTAAAAGCAAACATTCGTAATAATGTAATTTGTTAAATCGCAATTTTATTACTGTCTTTCGACTTTCACAACATAAAATTGCCTATTATATTTATATTTGAAAGTAATATTTTGGTGATATTAAAAATTGCTTCACCCAAGTATCAGAAATCCACAACCTCAATAAGCTCTAATTATGGCATTCTATTGTAAATACAATGTGTTCTGTCAATTAGTATAGCTGCATGTACAGTGTGCAAAGAAAAAAGGACAAGCAACTCTGACTAGTTTTTGATCTACTGATCAGATTGTTACATACTAGAACTTTATCTTGAAGGGGTGACCTCAAATATCATAATTAATAAGTGCAGACGATATTTTATGTTATGAAATCAGACACAAAAACGTGCTTTCTCTTAATAAATATGCCTTCTTTTTTTCCCGTCATATATGGATTTCTGCCTCCCAAAATATGGGGGTAGCTGCAATCTGGAAAAAATGGTCCCCAGGAGAGCAGTTGAACGTATGGACCCCTTATGGTAATTTTTCTTTTTGTATGTTTCGCTAATTTTTTTAGCAAATTGAAAAAAAAATGGCACACTATTATAAAATTTGCATAATATAAAGATATTATCATGTAATAAAAGTTATTGATGATTATTTATTATTTTATTATTTATTACTTAATGTAAGAAAATTAAATAGTAAGGTATATAAATTTTTACATCTTTTTAAAGATTTGCAGATCTTTTTATACTTTTTTGGCAAAAAAAAAAAAATTATATATTCCGCAAAATTGATTGAATAGTTCCAATGAACATGCATTTGAAATTTGATTTCTCAGAAACTATTGGATTGATTTTGTTCAAATTTTATATAAAAGTATTTGAAATTACATTCTTTAAAAAAGCATGTGCAAAAATGTTTCAATTTGCTTGAAAAGCTCTCGAAATGTGCAAAAATAAAATTAACATGTAGGTGTCCAAAACTTTCGTCTGCTCTCTTGAACTAATTATTTGGACCATATTTTTTGGATTACGGCTACCTTTTATATTTTGAAGGTCTGAAATCCGAATCTGTAGAAAAGAAAAAAGTGTGTTAATTCAGAGTAATAAAATATTGTCTCCACTAACTAATTAGTATATTTGATGTTGCCCTCTCAACCATTTAAGAGTGAATCTTTGTATGTGAAAATGTGATTATTTGATCAAAAATTCATCTTTTAATTTTTTTCCTGCACTGTACAATTATCTGTCTAGGTTTACAGGTTTGTTTTTGGACTCTAATAGCTAATATAAGAATGACTTTTTTCTGTTAACCCTTTAACGGGCCCTTTATTTCTAGTAAATGTAAATTAAATTATTTTTGGAATTGAAATTGTTTTAAGAACAGTAATTGATATATATAAAAAAAAACTCATTAGATAAAAATGCCATTTTTTTTTGGTGGTAAAAAATATACTTAACATGACCTATTAGAAACTTACTGACTTTTATTTTTCTTTATTTATAAAATAAATTCCTTAAATGCTACAAACTTCAAAAGGAATTATATATTTTATAACTTTTATACGTTTTTAAAAAGTGACAAATGGTTACCAAATTTATTCAAACTCACTTCAGGAAAGCTGAAGTTATTGAAAAATGGAAACCTAAATTAAAAGTGGTAAAACGTGGTGGTAAGTATACTTACCACGGCCTTCTAAAGGGTTAATGATGTCTTATTTATAAATTCATGTCTAGAATCCTATTTATCATACTAAATTAACTCAATATTTCTAACTTTTTTTTATCCTTTAAAGTAATTAATCTAATACTTTAAAATTTTCTTAGCTTCAGGCATCTAAACTTTGTAAATTTAACAATTTTCATCTTTTATTGTGAACTTGAGAAAAGGATGTTTTTGAATGTATGAAAATATCAGTCTTATTTCCAAATGACTGAAGAATAGTTTTTTCCAAACACTTCTTATAATTAAATAATGTTCTAGTAATGTACCACAACATAATGTGAAGTTATTTTGTAGGCGTACCAATTTTGTTAATATCTGCAGTAAGAAGAGAATTTAAATTGTATTTAAAGTGTTTTGTATTATATTATAAAATTCCTTTTAATTGATGTTTTCCAATAATTGTAAAAAAGTGGAAGAAATAGGTTTCTACCACTGTAGTAAATAACTTTCTACCTTGTTACCCTAATTTGTGAAATAGATAACTTCTTCAATGTTTTATTTATTTGTATATTTGAACCATAATTTTACTTTTTGTCTTTTATACTCTGTAATCTTTTGTATTTTCAACTATGTACTTCACTGATATTGATTTATGCCTATTGTAACTGTTGCTCAATAGGACACTACTGGTTCATTTATAAATTATGCCTTTTTTTTCCCTTTCAAAATGTAATTATACTTTTTTTCAATTTATGAAGAGTTTTTTTTTTCTTGATTTACTGTATATCTCAGTGTACAGGGTTGCCACAGGCGACTAAAATGCAACTATTTTTGGCGTGAAGCGACTGTAGCAACTTTTTTTGCCTAAAAAGGCTAAAAAAAAAAAAAAGCAACTATTTTCAGGAAAAGGAGACTATTGGGAAACTTTTCTAAACTCCTATCAATTTTTTTTTTAAAGCATAAATTGGGTGGAAAATCTGCGTCCCATGAGATAGTTTCTGAACACACTGAACTTTTTTTTTTTCTTAAAAAATAAAAAATTTTGAATTGCAAATTTGAGTCTTCACTTTTTAATNTTGAAATGCAAATTTGAGTCATCACTTTTTAATGCACTCAGTTTGCACAGATTCCAATCTAAGTCTATTTTGTTTCTCGATCGCCTTTTCTACTGTTATTGCTACAAAATTCTGCATGATTTTGAAAAACCCAATTTTGAATACAATATAGGGATGCATGAATTTCGAATTTGAATAATCACTTTTCATATATATATATATATAACAAAATTTTAGTCATATTTTTGTTCTTATTTAGGCAACTTCATGTTTTAGGCTACTAAAAGCAACTATTTTGTTCATTTTTTTCTGTGGCAACCCTGAGTGTATTATCTAACTTGCTATTTTGATAACAAGGTAGCGAATATCTAGTATGTTGGGTATGTAAGTTGACTGCTGAAAAGCTGATATTTTATATTTAAGCAGAGGAAGTATAATCCATTGCAGAGTGGGGTCCGTATAACGCCACAGCTATAATTTTTGAATCCGACACAGATTATCTGGATTTTTTAAAATTTGCAGCTTTGTGTTTTCATTTTGTTATATTTTTTGAAATACTCGTGAATAAATTGTAACATTTCTTTTTCTTATTTTTCCTTTTTTTTTTCTAAAAGCAATTTAAAGTAGTTTTTCTAAACAAGCCTTCCGATGTAAAGAAGATAAGATAGATGATAGAAAATATAAAATTAATTGCATATAACATTTTCAGTTTTTGAAAACAATAAATGCAGAATTATTTTATTTGCACCTACTTCATTGTTTGTAATGCATCAATATTTTTTCATGATCAATGACGGTTAGACTTAATTACCAGTATAATTTTTTTTAATTCCTTCTAGGTTTGACTTAAAGTTAACATTTCAGTCATTCTTAACTTTATTTAATGACATTTATCTTTATAATTTATATTTAACTATTCAGGTGTCACCAGTTCTCAACCAACATCCCATATCACACCTCTTACACTGGAACAGCCTGGAGCTGAACCTCCTGCTCAAATGTTGTCAGATGATCCTCCAGTTCAAATAGATGAACAGTCTACTGAAGCTGCAAACAACAATGCTCTATCAAAGCTTGTGTCAGGCAGGCGTATGTATTTTATTACAAATATCTTTACTTTTTCTTGCTATAAAAAGCTTTAACAATTTTTTTTTGTTACAATTATTTATTACATTTATAAAAGTATGAATAAAAAAGGAGAAAAGTAATTTTTAATACCATTATTAATTTAGGAATGTGTTGTGTATTTTACATTTGTAAATTACTCTCTTGCATTTTGTATTTCTGACTGTTATTTTGTAGTAAGGCTAAGGCAAACTGTTTAATGATGTATAAAAAAAAATTTTACACTTGCTGTTGCAGCCATTTCAACTTTATGTAATTAATTATAAATTAGATTTGTGATATTGTTGAGAAGTATCTTAATTTGAAATATTATTTTGTGACCTTATCATTTATGCTTTTAAAGATTAAATTTTTGAAAACTATTATATTTTAGATTCATTAACAACACTTGCTACTGCAGCCATTTCAACTGCAAGTCCTACTTCTCTTATAATAAAAAGAGATTGTTCCAATGGAATTGCCAATTCTAATACTGAAGAAGGATTTGATTCAGCTCTGAAGTTGGATCTTACAAGTATAAAACAAGTAGGTGAATTTTTTAAATGAAATTACATAGGGTATACATGTTTTGAGATTTAATTGTGAGGAAACTTATATAGTCCTACCTCCCCCAAGAAAAAAAACTATTTTTCCATTAGTTAAGTCAGGAAAGCATTGGTTTCACAATTTTATTCACTCAGCATTGCACTATCTTTAAAAAACTATGAATTTTTCCTGGTCTAACCTTAAATGGTAACTAATTTGTGCAGTGACAAGCTGCTTTGGTTAAGCTTATGAGTAACAAAATCGTAAAGTCCAGGTGCTCTTGGACTTGATTATTTGACCACACATAATCCGTTTGTAATGCTGTTTGCCTAAGTTTTTTAGCTTGTGAATCAAAACCCCGCATTAAAAGTTGTGCTAATTGATATTTTATATATTCCCAGTTAGAAAAACTGCAAAGTAATTGTCTTAGATTTTATTTTGCTTGTTAAATAGTTGTTTTTTTATTTATTTATTTTTTTTAATCTGCTTGGTTTATTTTTTTTATCTACTTTAATTTTCTTAAAAATTTTTGGATTGTTTATTGAATCTATATGTTTTATTGTAGGAACCAACTACACCGATCAAATCTGAAATATATCGTCATCAAGATGCTCAATGGTACGATGTTGGCATTTACAAGGACAGTTGTGCTCTAGTCACGCAGTTCTATGTACCTGATAATGAAGATAAGAAAAGTGTAAGTGAAAAGTGTGAATATATATTATATAGCTATTAAAAATTATAAATATTGGTATAATCTTAAAGCCTGAAGTTTACCTATTTGTTAGATTTTTTTAAATTTTTTTTTTAGTAATTTAACTCAATGTTTATGCTGTGATGGGTATAAAAAGAAAAGTTTCATGCTCTTATATGATGATATTGGCTCATTGAGTTATTGAGTATCTTGTTTAAATTTGCATTACTAATGAATTGGATAATATATTGGATATGTCCTTTTGTCATAATATTTAAGGTATTTTTTCATTTAGTTTTAAAAATGTTGTGTAGGATGTTTTTTATCTATAAAAAAGAAAATAAGATTGGAATTTTTATTTAAATTGACAAATACATAGGTTTCTAGGCTTTATTTTGGCTTACAAATGACTAATTTTTACCTGAAACAATGATAAATCCTTTCATCAAGAAAAAACTTTATATTTGTTACTCATATTATGCACTCTTACAGTCATTTGAACCACTGCCAGATTTGTCAAATATGAAACAACAAGATTTGGAACCTGGCACAGCTTATAAATTTAGAGTTGCTGCTGTCAATACATGTGGTAGAGGACCCTGGAGTGAAGTGTCTGCATTTAAAACATGTTTGCCTGGTTACCCTGGAGCTCCATCTGCCATCAAAATCAGCAAAGTAAATAATTATATATTTTTTCTTTCATAAATTCATCTGCCTCTTCTACGTCTGTAAAAAGTGTTTAAATTTCCTAGGACTATGGCATCAGAATTCCTTATATTAGAAATAGCAAAATGGTCTTAACCTAATTTGTTCATCTGACTGCAGTTGATCAAAATTCTGCATAAGAATGAACTGAAAAATAGCTATAATAATTCATTTTTATTAAATGATTATGAAACACTTGGTTGTTAAAATTGCCAACCATAATATTTAGCATTTGCAGCACAATATTTATAATATTAGAATATAATGTTACTGAATAATTAAAAATACTATTTCTACTCTGAAAATTTGCACACATGTTGATAAATTTTATGATATGGGTAGCTTAACTTTTTGCCTTGTTTGTTTACTGTCTTTATTTTTTCATGTAATAAGAATGTTCAGTCATATTTTCATATTATGGATAAATATATTTCGTATTCCTCTTCAGAGTCTTGATGGAGCTCATCTGTCATGGGAAGCCCCTCAAACAACCTCAGGAGAAATAACCGAATATTCTGTGTACTTGGCCATGAGGTCAGCCACTACAGGTGGTCAGGGTGAAGGCAAACAGACTGTACAATCCAACACATCTCAGTTAGCATTTGTTCGTGTATACTGTGGCCCAGAGCCCTCTTGTACTGTCAACAGTCAGAACTTAAACTCGGCACACATTGATATGACTACTAAAGCAGCTATAATCTTCAGAATAGCTGCTCGAAATGAAAAAGGTTATGGTCCTGCCACTCAAGTGAGGTGGCTTCAAGGTAATTCAAATTACTATAATTGTTCACTTATGTGTGATAATTGTCAATTCTCTAAAATTAGAGATATTAGCTCTATCTTAAAACTCTAAAAATGAAAATTTTTTGATTATAACTTAAGGTAATCTGCATTATTTAATTTTTGAAAACATCTATCGGGCCATGACAGCTGACGTATTATATGATATGGCAATTCGCAACTTGTTATTATTAGATATATATGATTGAAAAGTTTCTGTTATGGTATTTAGTGAATGTAAAATATTAAATGCAAAAAAGGGTTTCTTTCCTTGCATGCTTATACCTACAAAAGATTTGAATAATTCGTTTCTATAGTGACTGTCTTACTACAATGTGTCGACCATCTTGAATTCATCTTGTGGACAGGCTATTGTCCATCTTACCATAGTTCTAAGCATTCTGCTTCTGTGCAATATATGTAATTAGCTTTAGTGTGACATAAGCTTTACTGTAATGCAGAAACCTCACACTATACATTTGACAGAAAGAAGGAAGAGGGTGAATGCACAATTTATTGCAAACTTAATAAAATGAAATCACATGTAATATAACTAAAACAATGCTATACAAGTATGTTAGGACTGTTTCGTTAAGATAACATATTTATTGATGCTCACACATACATATACTTATATAATTTTTTTCAAATATGTTTTCAAGAGATGGCTAGTTGTTTTCAATCTTTAATTGCTACTGTTATTCAAGTCTCCTAATCTGAACTGAAAATTGTATGTCTTAAATTTTCATGTATTCATCAATATTTTTTCCTAATTTAATCTGGAGTTCTGAGAAGTAGAAACAATTTAATTGATATTTTTTGTAGTATTAAAAAAAACTCCTAAATATGCTTTTTAGCAAGAAACTTCTGTTGCATTTTAGTTTGATGTATGTGGGGTCTGTCTAGGTTTTTCTGAGAGATACCTATTTTGTGAAAATTTAGACATAATTTGTGAAAAATTATATTTAAAAATCTACGCAAAAATATGGATTTATTGTTTCTTAAGGGATACAAAAATAAAATTTTAAGAAAAAGTTCCTAAAATTGAATTTGTGAAGGTATTGCTAAACTGTAGTAAATTCGGCCTGGGCAGACCCCTGTGTATACATAAATAATTTTATTCTTTTGCTTGCCTGTATGCAGTCTGTTTTTATTTTTTGTGTTTTGAACCTTTCCTGATAATTTTTTCCCTTAAAGAGTGAAAAATGAACATGTGCCTCAAAATTTTCCGTCATGCATTTCACCGATTATATATGAACTAATAAAATAAAATTGTAAATATTTATTGATAACAAATGAGATCAGATGCTGACAAGCTGGATTTTTTTTAAACCTAAGTATCTTACTATCACAGTTTAAATAACTATAATTAATAATATAAAGTATTAAATTTCATACTTGGACTCCTTTAAACAAAATTATTATTAATTTGCTGTTGCAATGTTGCTTCTTTGTTTTCTTTTAATACTACATACATAATTACAATAATGTACTATTAGATATCCATTTATTAATTTTTTAAAGAAAGAAATAGATGTTTTCACAAAAATAAAAATGTATTTCTGTTTTTGCAAAAATTTTGTTTATTTAATTTTGTATTTAATTTAAATTTAAATTTTTTTCAGATAACTCAGCTACCAACAATACCAAAACTGCCACTAAGCGAACAACTGAGTAAGTCATTCATTGTGTTTTCTCTTTGAGTATTTTATATACAGCAAGCAATAACAGAATAATAAATTATATGTTATTCATTTTAAAGAACTACAGAAATTTTTAATAAAGTTCCATTTGACCATTAAATACTTATATCTACACCCCTCCAAAAAAAATTTATCAATAATTATAGTTTTTTTTCCATCTCAATTTTGTTTATCTGTTCTTAATCTCTTTTTAATAAAAATCTAATTTTGTAAATGATAAATTTTTTCGAAAAAAAAAATAGTATTATATATTTTTTGAAGACTGGTTTACTTTTTTTTAAAAGTAATATCAAAAACTCCAAAATGATATATATTAACAATGAATGTTACATTTTTTATTGAGTAAATGACATAACAATTAAAAGTATTGAAATATTAAAATTTAGGAATTAAACATCAACACAACAATGAAAGGAAATCATTAGGAATATAATTTCAAAATTAGCATATATTAAAGGAAATACTCTTTAAATTATTAAAATATAGATAAGTGATAATGCTTATGCAATCTTTGAAAGTGTGGAAGATCTGAAGTGTATTTGATGAAATTTTAATTTTCTGAAGCAAAAATTGTTTGTAAAATCAACAGATTGACAAGTTTTACTCTTGTTAATGTATAATGTACCTGTGTTTAATAATAGTTTCTGTAAATTTTTGCCAACTGTAAAATACCCTCTTTGGTAATGTATTTTAGTTTAAATAAAGCTACTCAAAAGTATTTTCAGATGTAACATTTTGTTCTTTAAAAATTTTTCTAGAAAGGCAGCAAACTATAGAATGGAAGATAAACTTTTTTTAGAGTCAGATATCAAGTCTTGAGTTGTCCTTGCGATTGATATTTACATAAGGAAAATAATGCTCAAAATATGTCTGTGATAGAAGCCCAAAGATTGCAGCCTTCATCTTATATAATAATCGATACTATCTCGTTATTTATTCTATAATATTTCAATCAATTAGAAAATTTGCTTCAATCGAAATTTAACTTTTTCTTTTTTTTTTTTAAGTGAAAATAGTTATTGCGCATGTTCAAAATTGTAAAAAGAACAATACTATAAAAATTATAGCTAAATAAAATTTTTGGAACAAATTTATCTGCGAATGTTGTTTTTATGTGCTTATTGTATGACTATTTTTCATTATAGGAAAAGCAACAGTGTATCAAAGAAAATGAAATTAGAAGATTCGTGAATATGAGAGATTTTTTATCATTTTGCTGAAACTGAGAATTGTATATTTTGTTTTTCATGAAATTGTTCATGCATACTGTAAATTCTTGTTCGTTCGTTTCCTTACATCATTTCCATCGTGCATATTGTAATAAAGTATTCCATTTTTCCCTCTCTTATTCAAGTACACATTCTTTGGAGATGGAGAAACATTTGAAGTTTCATTTTTTAATCAAGTGTGATGATGTTTCAGTTGAAGTACTAATTGATTGCACCTATTCAATATTTTTTAACTAATGTGTCTTTAAGGGAAAACCAAACTTTAAGAGTGTGAGATACTTTTTATCAAATTGTTACAAAATTCTATTTATTGTTGTTGAAACAATAAGCATTTGAAGCGTGTGATGCTTCTCTGTTTGAATATTCCTACATAAATTGAATTGTAGAGATATTTAATTCATTTTTAAGCCTATTTGTAACTTTTAGTATTACACAAAGTTAAACTGTATGTATTATAATCTATTAACATTGTTGCAAATTTTATTGATGAAGTAAGCAACTTATTGTAAATAAATTTTTGTTTTTGTCTATTAGATTGCTTTTTTTTTTGCGTAGAAAAAAAATTACGGCCTGTCTGTATGCATGTTCGGCTTTGTGCTTTCAGAAACTATTGTAATATAATCATAGTCCGCTAACGGCATCACAACCCCCAAATCAAAGAACTGCATTACTGATTATTTTTTTATATCCAGTTCGCATCTCCAGATGATCATTTGTCAATATATGACTTGAAGAGTAGGGAAATTCTTATGTAAATATTTCTATAAATACTCAAATGATAGATCATTATTGTTACCTTTTTGATGACTTGATTTTAAAAATAAGTTCATATTCCTGGGACTTTGTTGGTCCTCAATTGTTTTAGATCAATTTGCAAGGATTCAATTTTGTATATTGAACTTAACTATGCTTAAATTGTGTTTTCAGCTTGTTTGCTGTTATAAATTGTATCTTGCTTTATGTATATCAAATAAAGATGAATTTTAGATCTGTTTTTATATGTGTAGTCTTGTTTTAAGTATGAATTAAGGGGTTTCCCGAAGATTTTTATTTTGCACCATTTGTGCTATTAAAAGTCAAGACATCTGACAGTTAGTGGTTATTTGAAATGAAGTGGTGAACAAAATAACTATGCAATTTGAATCATTCCCTTGTCGTATAATTTCTTAATTATGTAATTAGACTGTGCTGTCCAGATCATACCACCTTTTTCTAGTAATATTTATGCTAACAAGCCCATAATCACCTTAATAGGTCATATTAGGTTTATGTATAATAGAATTTCAAATAATTAACTAATTTTACACTAACCCTACTTGATATAAACGAGATCTTCAGAATATAGTATGCAGAATCTACCTTAATCAATAATCCATTTTCAGAATACATGAATTTAAAAAACTAAAACACCAAATTCAAACAAGATTGCTTTTAATTAAATTGCCATTATTGAAGATTAACTTTATTTTGATCTATTTATATATGTAAAAATGAAGGTCTGTCTGTGTGTGTCCTTTATAGACTCTTAAACCATTCTACCAGAAGCGGTGAAATTTGGGATGCAGATAGTTCAAAGCACGAGGAAGGTCACATTAATACGTTCTACAATGCACAAAAACAAGTAATTTTTTTATTAGTGTTAGCCATTGTTTTAAATTTAAATATAGACTGTTCAACAAGTAACCTATTTTAAAGATAACATCTGTAATAATTGTAGCTTATAGCAATTTGTGTTACATGTATTTGTGTTACGTGATAGGAAGCAACAAATTACTAGACCCACGGATCCAGTGTTCAAACCGGGTTAAGGGTCAATATTTAAAAAATTATCTTTCATCATTTTTTTTTCAATATTGTAACGTAAATAGAATATTCCTTAAATTATTATTTTTCTTTTTATAAGAGCGAATAATAGCTTAAAAATAGCGAAATTTTTGCTCATACTATGTATATAAACAGGGTGCATACAGACTGGAAACTAAATGTATTATATACATTGTATGGGCATTTGACTTAGCTGTCAAAATATAATAGTTTAAGAAAAACTTTAAAAGAAAAGAAAATTTTAATCGAAAGAGTTAGAAGAAAAAAATAACAGTAAATAATTTTAATTTTACTTGTTACAAGCAAACTTAATTAATAATTTACCATGATTTTAATTTTTTTTTTGTGTGTATAAAATGCCTTAGATTTTTTGAAAATAAAAGATTGGTCAGTTTTTTATGGTAATCTTTAACTTTTGTACTTAAACAAGATTTATTAAAATATTTGAAACTGGAAAATGTAAATGTACTTGTGTGTAGAAGTGATGATTTTATTTTATTTTTCTTGATGAAGTTAGACTATGACAAAATTTATTTCAAAAGAGCTAGAAAAAAATATGCAAAATAAACATTTTTGCAAGTTTCTAATAATAACTGCTTTTTAATTTTTTTAAAAAAAACTGTCTAGTTATCTTTTACACAAAATTTTTGATAAGTCCTTAACATTTTGAACTCCTTGGATTTCTTCTGATCTCTGTATAAACCCTGTCAAATGACCTCATATATACCCTTAATATTAACCTATAATTTTCAATCTCGACAGGATACTATATTTTAACATACTATACAATCCTACCAATGGAAATAATTCTAGACAAATTGGCCCACGAGGAGGCAAAATATGGTTTCATTGTTTTCCAATGTCCGAAGGGTCCCAATGGTGTGGTATATATACATTGTATGGGCACCTGTACACTCATGTACGTTTGCTTACATACTTTCATAAATTGTATGTGCATGCTGACATACATCGTGTGTACTACTTGTGAATGGGTGTGCAGTATTGATCCTCGTTAAACTGTTCTACCGTAAAATGATCGACTTCGCGTGCAGGTCGCTTGGGTGCCATCCCTTCTCCAGAGGATCAAAATTTTGATGGCACGTCTTCGGTTCATCCTCAGGGACGTTTCCCAGACCGTCGCCAAAAGCCCATTGTGCAGCTTTAGTGCAACGTAAATGAACAAGAACAACTTTCTCTGAGAAATTAAAATTTTATTTAAAAATGTTGATTGGAACCTTTTTTCGTTTACCATTTCAAATATGATGGTTCAGTGTATAAAGTTGTCAAATGCTAGAATTTTGTGACTTGGGGGAGGAAGGGCATTCATCACTTCAACAGACGCAAATGGGATTTATTCAGATGCAGGTAGTTCCTTTTTGCAGTCTTGCATGTACTTTTCTAAGCTAAAGGGTAATTGGAATATTCATTGACATTTGTTCAATTTAATCTAGTATTATCCATTATAAGCATTGATTTTCAATCCGGAAGAGTGCTCGTGATAGCTGAACAGTATGTTGTGAGACCCAACGTATGCTAGAACTACTATTCAAAAGAATCTCAAAACACAATGATCACTTTGTGAGCCAAATGGCTTCAAAATGTAACGGAAACAGAAATCCAGAAGTATAGGCATTCAAGAGTTTGCAGCTTTCCCTAGTGGTAAAAACGCCATCCATAACGTCAAACAAGTTGGAATTTCAGTCGGGAAGAGTGCTCGTGATAGCTAAATAGTAGATTTGTTTTCTCAAAATGTCTGCTTTTACTTGTATCGGTTTTAATAAATTGGGGTATAATAATTCTTTTCTGAAATTAATGCAACACCTAATTTTTCTAAAACAAGTTTTTTTTCAGATAGCACAATAAAGCAACTTTCACACATGTTTGCAGAGCAGGGTCTGCTTCGTTCTGTAGAGCCTCTTTCACATATCAATATATGCGAATTCAATGCATAGAAATTTGGGTGAAAAACCAGGCCACGTAATTCAAGAATGCTATTAAATGTCGACGATCGAATGCTATTAAATGCCGTCCATATTTTTTCTGGCTCTTTAGATGCATGCAGCGTGTTGACACGATTTGAATTCTCGCTATTTCCCCGACTATACCTCTCGTCCATATACACTCTCCGTCAAATAATCTAAGGATATTACTATTGTTTTGTTACTCATAACTATTTCAATTAAAATGAAAATTAAAGGGTTTTTGATTTAGAAACTTTTACCAGTTTATTAATTATAACTTTGTGTTTTGAGGACATACAGAGGCGATAGCAACGCTGGAATGCGCCATCAGGGGAGAAGCCGGTTTCATGCCTTTAGCCCTTCTCTCTCCTCCCTTTTTCAGTTGTATAGGAATGTACTACGATATTTTTCCTTTTCTTAATATTTTTCGTATTTAATTGTTAAAAGTATTTTTTAAAATTTCCATGACGCTTTCTTTTAGAACTATTTTTAATGCAGTTTTCAATTCCATATAATTTCCTAACTTAAAATATTTTAAAATCAAGATCGAAACTTACGTACTTCCTTCTTCTATGACTCTCCACACGCTGATGGTGAAAGTATGTGAAGTATTGCCATAGGTAGAGAGTTCTCCTCAATGCTACCTGTAGACCATTTGCCAGCTGCTGGTTTGTTTGACAATATTGGCGATCGAAATGGGCTGCAGGTGGCGTAGAGCAAAATATGGCAACAATTCGCATGCTTTTCCCATAAGCGTATGGAGAGTCATAGAGGAAGGAAGTACGTTAGTTTCTCTCTTGATTTTCATATAGATTAAAATATTTTAAGTTGGAAAACTATATGGAACTGAAAACTACGTTAAACATGATTCTAAAGAAAAGCATCACGGAAACTTAAAAAAAATATTTTTATTAAATAAGAAGGGAAAATATCGCAATACATTCCTATACAACTGAAAAGATGAGGAGAGGGAAGGGAGAAGTGCCAAAGGCATGAAACCGGTCTCTCCTCAAATGGCGTGGATGGTGTTTTCAATATAAATGTAAACGATCTCGAACTCAACTCCTGCTCTAGTACCGGCTAGAAAGTTTGCAACTGCTTACTACAGCTTATTCTGTGAGGTAATATTTTCAAACGGATAATTTTGTTTCCAATAAAAGAAGTAAATTAGATTATTTCTGAGCTAAAATCTGCTGTATTCTGGTGAGTTTGAAGAGAAAATTTGCTTTAGTTATTTATAGGTACATTGTTAAAAAAAAGTGACATGGTTGCTCGATTTTGAATAATTAGTTTTTTTGGCAGTCCTGATTTCGCCTCTTCAATTTGTTTATTACTGTTTGTTCTTGTTGTAAGCTGTGCACCATCTTACGTTAGTGTTAGGCATTGTAAACACAAGTATTGTCAGTACAAGTAATCAAATACCACGTTTGCAAGAATCTCAAAACACAATGATCACGTTGTGAACCAAATGGCTGTAAAATACACCAGAAACATTAACCCGGAAGTATAGGCGGTATGGAGCTTGCAGCGTTCTCTAGTGTAGAAAACACCATCCATTGTTTTTAAAATTTTCTTGCTTCACCATATCATTTTTGGACTATTTTATTTGAAATGTTTGGTGTCATAAATCATTTTAAGAATATCATCGTTTTTTTAAATTGATTAACTAGCTTTGAAACAACGGCTCAGTGAAATAAAGTCTGTTTTCGAAATTTTTCCATTATGGTCATTACTCTAAAGTTTTTTGGCATCACTTTTTGTTTTTGTTTTCATTTTTAGTAATTACTTCTGCTCAGTGCTCAGTATCTCAGCTGGGAGATGATTTGATTTTGTGCATTTTAAGCAACAACTAAGTAACAATTTTGATTTTTATTCTTATATTTAAACATGTATGTTCTGCCCTCCAGGATAATGATAGAACTTTTTAGTAGACTATCAAGTTTAATTTAGTTTTTCACTTGTGAGAAAAAGGTAAAATGTTATGTTTATTAAACTGTTCATTCATAATTTGTTTATGTGAAAAAGTGTTTTCATTTCAGATTAAAAAAGTACGTTGCACCTTTTAATAAATTTCATCAACGAATTAAATTCATTTTATAGTTAATATAAATTATACGTTCTTTAATTATAAACATTGTCTATATTTTTTATTTATATTTGTCAAAATTTGCACTTGTCATCATACCATCAATCTTGCCCGGGGATGGCTGCAAGTTTTACCTTTCAAGTTGGTCCCCTTCTTTGAGTTTCTTTAGCTTCTCACGTACTGCTGCTTGGAAATTATCAATATTCGGCGATTATTCAGTCGTTTTTTGAAAAATGTTTGGAATGTAATTTCTAGTTTTAAAAATTCTTCAAATTTATTCTAAATTTCTTTTATTTTTTCTATATAAAAATAAATTTGGTACTTTTACATTTCAACGGACAACAACGGATAAAGTTTACAATGCAAAGTCACCAAATTAGTGTAAATTCAAATTTTTATTAAAAATTTTATTTTTTGGTGATGTCTGTTTAAAATAAAATAGCAAAATGGAAGATTACCATAAATACATTAAAATTTATTTGTTCACTATTACAACGCTCAAATAATCAAACTGGGTGGAAGACAGGCTCCATCTCTAGAGCCTAACCCCCATTTCTCTTGTTCTTAATACAGATATATGTAAATGTACTACGGTGTTATCTACTCCCATATTATATTTGGCACTTAGAAAATAAAAAATGCATTTTAATATTTTCATGATGCTTACATTTAGCATTACCTTTAATGCAGTACTGAGTTCCAAATTGTTTCCAAGCTTAAAAATTTTTAATCAGTAAAAATCAAAACAGAAAAAATCGTACTTGCTACTCCTTAGAATATCCACATGCTATAGGTTAAGAGTTCTGCAATTTGCCACTTGTAGCCCATTTCATTCTCCAATTCTTATTAGGCAGTTTTTAAAAATGGCATATGAATAGCTATGGTTCTGTCTTTAAGTCATTATAAATATGGTAAAAAATATTTGAAGGGATTTTGTAGTTATTTATTTGGAAAGATTTCAAAATTGTAGTCACGTCATCATCTGACTAGTAGAATAATAGTATGACCCCCTCACACACTTTTTGCATGAAGCGCTTGGGTATATTTGCGTATCGTGATCTGGCGCACCAACTACAATCGCCAAGGTGCCAAATAGATTTTAAACTTTCAAATTTAAAAAAAGAATCTCATGTAGATGTTTGCCCGGGGGTGGCTGCAAGTTATACAGTTCTTGTTGGTCCCTTTCTGTGATGTTTTTTTTTTTTAGTTTCTTGCGGGCCACTGCCCGGAAGTTTCCAAGACTTGGCAATTATTATACCACAGATTACGATACGGAAATCTCTCAACCCCCTTTTTCTTTTGTTATTATTCTTTGTTGAATGTATATTTTGTTGAATGTATCTAGGTATATTTTTGAAATAAGCGATAACAGGTAGATAGCTATTAGACATAGTACTTCTAATGTGTTGTTTTTACGGGAGCCCATATTAGACCTCAATACTTGATTTATGCTAAAAAAATTGCTTTTTTAATCTGTCCATTCTATTTTATTACTTACCATGTTAAAGGGTATTTCTTGAAATAATAAAAATAACAATTTACTAATGCTGTTTTAAGATACTTAGCAATCTTTTTTTTGAGAAAAAGTAAATTGAAAATTGAAGTGGGATCCATAATTTACACAATTTTGTTGTGCAAAGGATAATTTAGTTTCTTTTTATGTAATATTGATAATGTAATTTTATATTTACTTTAAGTGAAAATTTATGTTTTAATTACAGATCAAATATTAATTTATAATATTATTTTTATTATCACACTGTAAAAAAATATTAATATGCATAATGTATTTATTTTTATAGAAACAAATTGAGATCCATTATGTCATCTTTCATGTTTCTTAATAGATTCATAGTTGTTTAATGCTACATTATTTTATACGGAGAATTTCAAATCATGCATTTCTTTAGAATTAGTTTTTGATGCCCATGATTTGTGATGATTTTATTGTTCACATGGCTTTGTTAATCTAATTTTCATCAATTTGGGATTTCTACTTAGTTTTTAAAATTTCGATTTCATTTTTTAAAAATATGATTATGATCTGCGAATTTCAAATCGCACTTTTGGAGAATCACTTAATGACTTAATATCACTTAATGACTTAACATCACTTAATGATGCTTTAGTCGGGAAAATTTCATCTCAGTTTTTTCAAATTGTGAAATTTTTCCGCACTCTGATTTTGGTGGTAATAATCCTTTTAAACATCGACTTGAGAAAAAAATACAAGAATTTTTTGTGCTGCCCAGTTTTGTCATCTATTTTTTTTCTTCATATTGTAGCGGAAATCAGATTAAAATCTAGCAAAAGTTAGAAGTTTGAGAAAAATGATAAAGTAGAGTGCGAAATAGCGAAGGATTCTCATCCCTGCATACTTCTTTTTTTTTTTTAACAACTCATGAGTGTAAAAAAATTTTTATTTCGAAAAGAGTTTTGTTTATTTTGATTTTTAAAAAGTGTCTGGAAAATAGACCCTTCCGGTAAACAGACGTCGGATTATGAGACTATGTACTCTATTATGTATTTGGGCACCTAACTTTAAACATGTATAAATTTGTGAATTAAGCCTTTACGTTAAAACTTGCATTCAAAATCTAAATATATTTATTTATTTTTATTCTAAACTAAACTTTTTTTATTATGATTAACAAAAGTCATACATTATTCTGGAGTTGTCATCAACAATTTCATCTTTTGAGTTTATTTGATTGATACTTGTTGGTAGTCAAAGCATAACTTAAGGACAGATTTCATTTATTGGAAGTGGTCTCTAAAATATTCATAACAGGAATTCACGATTCACCCATTTTTTATTTTATTTAAGGAAAGCCATTCTAGCAATGTAATAAAAAGTATGTAATGGTTGTGCTAAGGATAATATTGATAATGGTCAAGTAAGTAAAAATAAAGATGAGAAGAAGCACAAGGTAACTTACATTTTAGACACATTTAGACACATTTACAAGGTAAGGCATGTGCTTTGAATTTTTTTGTATGATTGTGATTAACAGATATTGAAGTGATCAATTAAAACAAAATTACATCAAAATATTATATCTAATTTATAATTGAAGACCAAGGAAGTTGAACAGTTTGTTCTTTATTCCTATAAATTGTTCTGAATTTGCTCGGAATTGCAATATGCTACGAATTCTTTGTATGATTATAACGAACAGATGAAGTGATCTATAAAAACAAAATTACATCATAATATGTATAATTTATAATTAAAGACCAAGGGGAATGAATGGTTTATGTCCATTATTTACAAAAATGTTTACCTTCTGTTGCTTTTTGAGGATTACTAAGCTTTAATAAATAAATCGCTTTTCCCCTAGAGTTATAACACCTAGATTATTATTACCCCCTACCCCTTAGAAAACGGGCCTTACTGTGGGAAAGGCCTTCCTTTCCGTGTGCAAAATAGTTTTTTTTCTTCTTTTTTCTGAATCGGCTTTAAAGGACATAAACCATTCTTCCTTCATGATCTTCAATTTTAAGTTTTATAAAAAAAGCAGAACATGAAATTTTTTTCATTATATTACCTTGCTAAATGAAAGTGATTTTTTTTTTATAATTTATTCTTTTTTTTTATTCATCTATTCTAAAATAATACTGTTTTGTTTATGTAATACTATTTCTTAGCCTACTATTTCATGGATTGTTAATTTAATTTTATGTGGTGTTTCAGGTTGATACTATAGACTATAGCTTATCAAGAGGAATGTCACTACGACAAGCTATAAAATCTAAATTTCGATCTGAAAAACCTGATATAGATATTATGCCTACTCCTACTATTCTTCATACATACCCTTCAGAGGAACGACTCCTCGAGGAAATGCCGGATGAAGTAAAGTGTTTAATTTTTGATGATATGTCATAGAATCTTAAACATTTTGTTAAAAAATCTATGATTGCCTAAATTCTCTTTCTTATCTCGTTTTGTTTTAACCATTTGACATTTTATTTAAGAACCTACCACTTATGTTCCAACAATAGTCAGTACATATATAGTGAGTAAAAAGGAAGAAAGATACTTACCACTGTGAATAGCTTTTGATTTAATTTTTATTTATTATTTTTTGGTGCTTTTAACCAGTGGGTTTACAAACTAGAAAACAAAGTATAAATTATTCAACACAATGACACTAATACCTGAAAGGCTTAGGGCAATATATTCATAGGTCACACTTTTTCAGAATGTGTTATTATTTTTTTTTCACGAAGTGTTTTGTAGTATTGTTACTTATTGATACTTTTTGGGAACAAATTATAAGTTTTGGAAATTTCCAATACAAAATAGCGTAATTTACAAGAAACATCTTGTTGCTAATATAAAAGTCATCAATATGGAACACCAGTCATCTTGGAATTGCATATTATATTCAATATGATTTGCCCATTATATTAAATACACGAAAAAATTGTTACTATCAATTATTCTGTCAGTTTCGTTGGTTTTGTCAAGATAAGTTCAGTATTTATTAGTCATGAGTAAATATTTTCAATAGTTTTGCGAACTCACAATATACCAACTTGACGTTATAATCCTTTTTCCGTTTGGACCGCAAGAGTTGTGAAATTGTGCACCAACTGTATACGGAGGGATTGGTGAGGATAATATTACTAGAATATTTTATAACTTTGGAAAATATACGTTACTTTTTATTTATTTAAATTACTAGACCATTATTTCTTTGATCAATAATTTGGAGCAATGTCAAATCTTTATTTAATGTCAAATCTTATTGCTGCTCATTTCTTATTTAATAATTCTTTTGTGTGAAATGGTAATAACTTTTTTATAAATTCAGGCATCTTAGAAATGATAATAGATAATTTATTCCAACATTTCCCATGTAGAAATTGAAAATACTTCCTGCAGTTTGTGTTACTATTTCTTTTATCTGTAAAATAATATTAAATTTAATAGTTTTTACATTTTGAGTAATGTAAAAACAGAATGTTTTGTAACTCTTTTTTTATATATATATTTTTAGTGCCCACATCCTGATAAATTACCAAATCAAGAGTCGTGCTCTGCATGCTATGAATCTCAGCTTGCCCAGCTACAAGAACAGTTTGTTCAAATTATGCTTGAGAACCAGCAGTTAGGTAAAGTTTATTCCTTTAAAGATTTTCAAATATAAAGTGTGACTCAATTGTTTTCAGATTTTCTTAATTACTTACTTTTTTATTAAAGAAAATGTTGAAAATTTTTTGTACACACGTTCTTAAAATATGTTGCAAAATTCTTTTAATAATCTAAAATGTAAACATGCATATGCAAGTGTTTTTCCTATAATCATAGAACTAAACATAAATCTGTTCACAATAGTTTAAATTCATACTGAATCAATGAAAAACAAGTCCTATATTGATATGTTGAGAATTTTTTTGAATTGTTCTTTATGAATAATTAATAATAGCTTTAGTTATTTTCTTTTATCTAAAATTATAAGGGAAACCTTATCACAACAGTGATTTAGAGCTATCATTTACAACTAAGATTTATTTAAATCATTATTATAACAAGTATTCAAATTGATTACAATTGGATTAAAACTCCCAACATTTAAATGTTATTTAGTAATAATATTTTCTTTCTGTAAGGTTTGTAATATTACTTTTTCCTTCTTATAGTTAATGAAATAAAAGATTTAAAAAGTCAAAATGTGGCTGAACAGCTAATGAAACAGCTTGAAAAAGAACGCGAACGTTATAGGGTGTTGTCTGAGAAATTGCATGATAAAGAAACAAAAGAAACAAGCTCTTTAAGCAGCAAATCACCTAGGTATGTAATTTTCATAGCAATATTTTTTATTTAAAATTACTAGTAATTTTACTGTTCATAAGACTCTTCTGTTTTTTATAAGTTCTAAAAGGTCCTGAGTCGAAAATCAACTTACGAAAATTAATATCACAACATAAATAATGTATAAAGGTTATGTTTTAAGTGCTATCTCCAGTTTCTTATGTTTTCAGCTAAAGTCAAATGGATTTAGGAATTAAATGGTAAATAGCACAATTAATATTGCAATTAAATTGTACAAGTATAACGTGTCATGTTTTTTTAAACTTAGACATAGAAATAATTTGGAAGTAGTAAACTCTGTCTTATTTTGAAGTTAAACTACTAGCCGCACCTTTGCTTAGTTTTATGAGGTTAACCATCCGATAAATAATGGCAGCAAATAATTTATTTTATTTTTTTAGTAACATGTGCTGTAATTCTAGAAAAAAAAAAGTTTTGAAAAATATAATTTCATTCCGTAAATTTTTTGTTATGTTCATTCTAATTTGATCCTTGCATTAGGAACTATTTTTCCCCCATAAAATATGGATTGTGTTATTTTTAACAAAAACACTGCTTTTGCTCCTAAAGTAATAAAATAGTGTGTGATGAAAATTAAGTTTTTTTGTTTGTTTTGTTTATTAAACTTCTCCCCCCCCCTGAAAATTAGTCAATTTTTTTCTATCTATTTTCAAGGACAATAAATGTCTCTTGAAAACCTGTGATGTCAACTAGTCAAACGTAGTGTTGAAAATCTGTGACCTATCAAGTAGTCAAATGTAGTGTTGCTTATACTTTGCGAGGATTTTCATGACTTAATTTTCAATTTTGGCAATTATAATCATATTCATATTCTAGAGATGTTCTTGTTGATACTTAATAATACTTAACTGGTATTAGGAGGTGGGTAGTATATTTATTCTGGCCAAAGTTACAGCAAATTTTGTTCCAGTAATGTCCAGTGATACATTTTCTAATCACTGAAACATTTAAAAATCTTCTCTTCTATGTCTAAATTCAGTTGAATTGATTTATAAATTTATATCCAGAAAATGAAAACGAAATTTATTTTTATTAGGCCCTTCCTCTCTCAACCCAACTCAACTGTCAAAAGGGAGGGAAAATTCTAAATTTGCTTGTAATCTTTTCATTTTACTTTATTTTTCAGCATCTTTTGATGCATATGTCCGTCACATAATCAGAATTTGAGATAGAAAGCATGCAGTATTTTAGACTCTCTTTTGATTTTTTCTCATAAAATTATGCCTACAATCAACAATTTCTGAAATATGTTTAAATGTTTCACAGACTTTAGTTTTTAGACTTTTGATACGTATCATTAATTTTATGCAATTAATGTTATCGAAAATTTTTAGCATCATTGAAATTGCTTTTCATCAATTTAAACCGTAATAAGATTAGATTTTAAAAATTCTAAAAACTGAGAAATGTGTAGCCTTAAATTACTTACTCAAAACCTTGAATCACATCATTTTATTGCTTTAAAATTTTGATAAAAAAAATCATTGAAGTTGTTGAAATTATCGCACACTATTTCTCCTAATCTAATAAGGCAACCCTTTTATTTTTAACCTTTTTTGAAATGATTGTGCTGCCTAAAAATTCTACATCACCAAAAGTTTGTCTAGTACAGAAAATATCGAGGAAACACGAATTAGAAATTTAAGATGGCGAAGGTAGAGGACTCTAAATTGATGAAATTCTCTTTTTTCCACGTAATTCAACAATTTGTATGTTAACTTTTGTTGTGATGAAAATGTATTAGTTAAGGACATAATTAAAAATGAAGGCAATGTTAGTGTCATCATTAGATTTCTAGAAATTGTTAATGCTTTGAGGTACAAACTTTTCCCTAATGTGACTAACACGATGTCCGTAATGTAAAAAGTTTGTGATGCTTTTAAAGTTATTCATATATGGCTTTTAGGGCAAACTTACTTGAAAATTACTTTTATTTGAAGTACATTAAAGGGGTTAAATGGTTTCAATAATTTGAATTCATTATGTTTTAAATAACATGTGATCTTAAATTTTTTTAAATTTTTCAACGGTATTTGGTTTTTATCTGAAATAATTTTTCTTTGACAAAATATCTTTTTTACTAACATTAAATAAATGAACAATAATAGTAAAGTGCTAATGTTTTTGCTGTCTTAAAATAAGTTTTTGTTTATAATTAAAAATTAAAATGTTTCTTTTGATAGGAAGTATATATATCGAAATAGATTTAAATGGATATTATTTTAGCGTAAACTTAATAAATATTTATGTTTTATTGAAAAGGATTAATATTTTTTTCTTTAGAAAAATAAGTTGAACTTTTTTTTATTAGATGATTTGGAATAGCAGAAATTTGTAAATCATTAGATACTTCTTGCATATTTTTTTTATCTATTATTGTATTGTATATATACTGTCTATATTTTGTTATTTTAACTTTTAAAAAGAAAATATAATTTATTGTTGCTTTATAGTACATTTGAATAGTTGATTTCGGTTGTGTTTAACTTAATTAAAAGTTTATTTAAGCTTGATTTTGTCTTTATTTTGAGGTTAAGAAGATTTGCCCGTAAAGAAAAACATACGCCTGAAAAATCTAAATTGCCTGATATTGGGGAAGGATCAGGGACAACTGTTACTCCTGAAAAAGAAGAAGCAGCTGATGTTGTTAAGGAAACTGAAGAAGGAGAAAGTATGGGTCTTAAGGTTTAATTTATTGTGTTGTGAAATTTAGATGAAGCACACTTTTAAGTTATACAGTATCCTAAATCATAGGGGTTTTAGTATACATTATGAGTATGTTGTTAAGGTAGTAAATAAGTAAAGGGTCCTCTTTAGACAGAAAAAGAATTATACTTACTTTATTAATGCATAGAGAACTATCTAAACATAATTTTCTTTAAATAACTTATTAATTTTAAATATATTTATGCAATGATAACTATTGTTTTGATTATTGTACATTACAGGGTATCCGCGCCCTTGGAAAGTCATGAAAAATCATGGAAATTCATGAATTTTGGTATTGAACAAAATTTGCCATGAAATGTCATGATTTTAACTATTTCTTAAAAAAAATCGTGGAAAGTCATGGATTTAGGTCACTGAAAAATCTAATTTTCAAAATGGATTTTACCCCTCCCCCCCAATTTCATGGTGTTCCAAATATCTGAATTTGTAACAAAATCTCCACTCATAGTCATGTTTTATAAAAATATAAATTGTTTTTATCATCTTCTTTAAAAATTATGGCGCTCTTTCAAAAAATGAAAGTAAAAACATTGTTTCTAGACCGAGTTATCTTTTTAACTTCTGTGATTTCAGAATTTTTTTCATTTTTATTTTATCAATTTAAAATTCTAGCTAAAGCAAGCCAGTCATTGGCGAGTTTTTTTATTCTGAAATGAGAACTGAAGAATCAGGAGTATTTCTTTCCTTTCCGATGAACAAAAAAAAAGTATCTTTAGAATATAATTTTGCAGAGGAAAAGGGAAAAAATTTAATTGCTTTCATATTTTTTTAAGCTATTTTATTGCTTCAACTCTTTCTTTACTCTGTTTTTTTAAATTTAAAATCTGTAAATATGAAGATGCAGAGTATAACAGTTTTCGTTATACCTATCAATTCAATTACTGTTATTGTAATGTTTTTTTTAAAATTTGGTTTGTGTTGTTTTCGTATAACTTTGTTAAGTCATGAAAAGTTCTTGGAATTAGTCATGGTAAAGTCATGAAAAGCTATGGATTTGAAAATCTAAAACATAGCAGATACCCTGTACTGTGAAAAGTTATTTTATTTAAAATGTATTTTGATTTTTAAACTATTATTAGTTGTCACTGAGCTCACACCAGTGCAAGGTGAAGCAGTTCCTTTTCCTTCGGTTGAAAGACCGCGAGGTCTATATGGCCGTTTTCGTGCATGGGTGACTTCTCAATTTTCTGAATTAGTTGAAGACTTTTCTGAGCCTGTTGTTGATGATGATGATAGCGCTGAAGATGATTCTGAAGGAGATCCTTTGACAGTTCGCAAGTGAGCGCTATTTCTTTATTGCCTTCTATTTATAACAGTTGTATATTCATTTTATTTATTCGAGAAATTTTATCGGTTTAGAGAAAAATATTTTAAGCATAAAAAATTTATAATTTTTTAAAATGCACCATTAAGATAATAATTTTGATATTGATATGGTTAGGGTGTTTAATTTTCTCTCTTAAGATTCATTAGTAGTAGTTTTCTCAGTGGAACCTGGTCAACATTTTCTTGGTGCGCAAAGTTTTGTATTTATCAGCTAAGGTTTATACTTAAAGGGAAAAAAATGTACTTCATCATTTATTTTATTTCTTCTGCAGTTTACAATTCTAATAAAATTAACAAGTATTTCCTACTACTTAATTACAATGCTAACTAGTTATGTAGAAGTGCAAAATCTTTTTTTAATAAAAAATTGCTTCACTACAAAGTAAGATTTTCAGTTATTTGTAGGGAATTTCTTTTTTGTTCTCAGATGCAATTATTCTTTAATTGCGATTGCTTCCATTTTTATCATGTCTCAAATAATAATTATGAATTAGTTTTATTAAAAAAGGCGCATAATTACATAATACTTAAAATCAGTGAGCATAAAATGCATTAAAGGACTAATTATTAATTCCAAAAGCAAGTTCATCTCTTAGAAGTTTTAAGTATATTTAAAAATGAAAAGTGTAATGTTCTTATTTCTTCTTTGCATCCACTTCGATATGTTTCACTTTGCTGTGAGGGATTGAGAAGCACAGTCTCAATCACAGGCAGCTCTCAAACTGAAAATTTATTTGTCAGCAAGACCAACAATATCTGTAGGATTGTGTGGTTTCTCTCTGTTTTGCTTTTATAATTGTCTCTTAAAAGGGTGTAACAACCAGGAAACTTTAAATTAGCTCTAAAGTATCTAATACCTGTTTCCAATAACATCTAAAAGGTCTAAATCTCTATCCTTTCGTAATATATATTAGTTATGATGTGCTAAAACTCGTTGGTAAAAATTAATTGCTTTCAGTAAAATTATTATTCGATATGAACTTCGTCAATTTTCATGAAAGGACACATTTTGTATTTACTTTTATGAATTACAAGTCTTCAATTTAAATATTTTGCTGTCTTAAAAGTTTTTATTTTCATGCATATTTTAATTTAATTATCCTTGTTAAAACTTTTACTATTTTCTATTAATAGATCTAGTTTTATTAATATTATTAAGTCTTTTTTTTAAAATTTCTATTTTTTAGGCTTAAAGACAACTTAGTGCGATTTAGTAAGTATAATTTCTTTTACTTTTTGATACTGAATAAATGAAAGGCTTGAGGCAAAATAGTGCTAAATCACATTTTTTCAATCTTACCATTCTGTGGTGGCTCAAGGGATAGAGCGCTCGCCTCTCAATGAGGTGACCTGGGTTCGAATCCTGGCGGCTGGTCGATATTAATTCTTCACCTGGCTTGCACTGACCATAGTGATGGCATAAAATATTCTCAATGGTAGATGGATTATGTGTTAGAGTTCCCTTGCTGCCAGGCTAACCATAGGGGATTTTGTTTTTTTCCTCTCACAAGTTCTGGTTAGTTCTATCGAAAAGTGCTCCTCAAAAGTAAATTTCTCCCAATACTTGATTCAGGATTTTCCTTGCCTTCTGGATTGGGTTCAAAATAGCAAGGTTACAGAGTTGAACATTGGGAGTCATAAACTTAAAATTGGGGCGACTGTTCAATGGCGGTTCTTGCCAATTTTACATCAATGTTGAGAATTGTTGAATTCAGGCATCAATAAAATATATCAATCATCTTAAAAGATTAAAATTGGTTTTCCTGCGAGATTGAAGTGATAATTCTTCAGGACTACTTCTGCAGACATTGGTTTTGTGATCCTGCGGTGCCAGGATTGCATTTCCCGACTTATACCCTATTTCATCTGAAATATCTCTCGAGCAATATGCTCAGATACCTCAACTTGTTTGATGTGATATCACTATATTCTCATGATTATTATTATATTTTTGGAAATTCTTTTTAATAGAATTTGCTAAATGGTACAGCTGAAAAGTCAAAAGTTTTGGCTCATTTTGTAAATAATTCTACTCTCGTGGTAACCTAAACTTTTATCTAGTGTCATGTTAAATATCCAAACATAGAGTCTCTGGGTAAAAATTGTACTAAATTTTCTTTGCTCTTAAATAAGGTGGGGAAAACAGGTTTTTTTTTGTACAAGAAAGCCTGCATTTAAAAATTTGCAATGAACTGGGACTGATTTTCAGAAAGTTAATATTCGAATCAGAAAAATTAATTTTGGTTAGTTATGCAATTAAAATAATATTTTAATTTGCAATGCATTTGAAAATTGAATGAAAAAGTACCATTAACCTAGTTTGATATGATTTTGTACTACTTTAATTTGCATATGGATTAGAATAAATTTTAGGTTTATATTTGTGCGTAACATTGAAATTCTTTTTTAGCCAATGCTACAAAACCTGTCTCTTCTCTTGCTGATAGCTTCGTATCGTTGCTACGATGGAATTCACCGGGAACAACATTGTTAGCATTTTTTGTAAGTTTACTATTGCGTACTGAATTATTTAAGCTAAGTTTTGTATAGCTGTTTTTACATGCTATGTTGTCAAATGAATTTTGATATTTATTAATGACCCTTTAAAGTAATGACTTGAATGTTACTAAAACAATTAGATTTTTTTTATTTTTAATTTTCAACAAAATGGGCTTCTTTCATAATCATTAACATATTACCTACAAAACTAGTAAACATAAAAGGCACAGCATTGAGACATTTCTCTGTAACAATTATGTAGAGTTTGCAAACTTAATATTATTGGGATATTTTCCTCATAACTAAGCAAAGGACTGATCTTAGATATGAATGCACTACTAGCAGCTCCCCAATAGTCAATATGCAGCCCCGACCTTCTGAAATTTAAGAAAAAACTGCAGTGAAACATGTGTGTAACGATACTGTCTATAACGATAAACCTGTCTACAGCGATATTTCCTTGAGGTCCCGGTGAAATTCCTATTTACTCAATGAATTTTTAACCTGTTTATAGCGATAACCACTTTTCAGTTAAACATGTCTACAACGATAATTTTTCCTCTTTTGATAGTTGATAGTTCTATTCCGATTTTTCTACCGTTGGAAAACGACTCCCCATCGAGCTTAAATGTGAGATAACAAAAAATTTTTTTTTTTTCATCTCCTTTGTATGTAATATTCTTTCGTTGTTTCTGAGAAAAAATGCCACTTTTAGGGGAAATTAGAGCAGTAGAAATGGGTGAAGAGGTATTGTAGGAGGGAGAGAGCTTCGTCAGAAATGCTGATGAAACTGGCTTATTTTATCAGCTCATGCCAGATAAAACAATGGCATTTAAGGGAGAAAATTGTAAAGGCGGTAAAAAATCAAAACAGAGGTTAACTGTTCTACTTTGTGCAAACAGTACTGGAACCGATAAACTGAAGCCGTTCGTTATAGGCAAATACGCTAAACCTAGATGTTTTAAGAATGTGAAAAGTTTACCAGTTGACTACAAGGCAAACAAAAGAGCCTGGATGACAGAAGAAATATTTAACAACTGGCTGCTTGATGTGGATAAGGAGATGAAAAGAAAGAAGAAAAAAATAGCTCTCTTAGTTGACAACTGCACTCCTCACAACAATCCTCCAAGTTTGAAAAATATAAAATTGTTTTATTTTCCCCCAAATTGCACGTCGATTCTACAGCCATTAGATTTGGGAATAATAAAATGTTTCAAAGGATACTATCGAAAAAGATTAGTTCAGAACGTTGTTTATAATCTGGATAATAAACTCCCAAATCCTTATGCAGTTGATGTAAAAAATGCATGTGATTGGATTTCCGGAGGGTGGAATTCATTGACACAATCCACCATCCAAAATTGTTGGAAGAAAGCTTCTTTCTTTGAGGATAAAAGCAACGGAAACGCAGAAACTGAGCTTACTGAAATCACTGATGAAGAAGAAAAATGTGTGGCAGGCTTAAATTCGATTGTCAGTGATTTCCAAAGATCATCTAATACATCATTTCTATTTAACGCAGATGAATTTTTAAATTTAGATAATGATGTGTTGGTTTTCAGTGGTGCAAGTGATGAAGAGATTTTAGCAGAAGTTATCCCGGGTGATCAAAGTGATGAGGAAGAAGCAGCTGACTGTTCTCAAAACAGGACTCAAATTTCACCCGAGAATGCCATATTGCTAATTAACACTTTGCAAGATTTTGTTGCAACATTACCAAATGTAACTGATGTTCATTTGAATTCATTAGATGGACTGAAATCTATGTGCATGGAAATGGCAATTGCTTCCAAAAATAAGCAAACAAAACTAACCGATTATTTTTCTAAATAATTTCTGTTTTGATTCATAAAATTATAAGTAAATTTTTCTTGTGTGCTGTTTCATAATTCTAAGTAAAATTTTCATTTGGAGCCTATAAAAGAAGTTTAATTTATCATTAGTTTTAATTCATTCAGTTTTAATTCATCATTACTTTTAAATTTCAAACCTGTCTATAACGATAACCTGCCATAACAATATTTTATTTAGGTCCCTACAGTATCGTTATAGACAGGTTTTACTGTACATAACAGGTGTATGAACAATTTATAATTGTTCATCATACTAATTTCGATAATTTTTTATTTTATCGTGCATAACTTAAAAAACTTTTTTAAGGAAACTTTTTTTCATAACATATGTAACTTATTATAATTTAATTTTAATAAAAATGAAATTTTAAGTTTAATTTAGTTAGAAAAGACTATGTGTGCAAAAAAATGCTAATTTTTGTTAATCAAAAAAAAATTACACATACAATGTAAACATCTATAATTTGCTATATTTAGTTTTTAAATTTTTAAGACAAGTTGATTTTTTACTGGCTGAGGAATAATTAATTGACATTGCAACCTCTGAAAGTTATATTATTTTTCAGACTCCTAAACCCCTTAAGAGGGAAAATTCCTAAATGTTTGGGGAGTTGAGAGATAGTTTTAAGTTATTATCTCAGATGATGGCTTACATCCTCTCTTTGAAGCTTTTATGCTTGTGCCTTTATGAATTGTTCATTTAGGGGAACTAAATTACGTATACTTTATAAACTGCATTAAGTTAAAAGCATTAGTTAGGTACAAACTAAAGTATGGGAGTTGTTGATTTTGATAATTGAACATTACTGGGAAAGAAACTTGTATTGTTTTAAATACTACAATATACAAATCATGATTTTTATAAAAGGAATTAAATAGGCTTTTAAATAAAAATATTCAAGTACACTTTTTTTTTCTTCATAAAATTTATTTTTTACTATAAAATAATGCAGATTAACTTTTAAAAAAAATATAGATTTTATGAACAAACTAAATGATACAGTAAAAAAAATACTTTATTGATACTTTAGCATAAAAAAAAAATATATTATTCATTATATTTTATTAAGTCTTATTTATTGAAACTTATTTGTCATTTCTGTATCCTTGTATACATTAAAGTCTGAACAAATGATGTTCATTATTGTGTGCCCATCACCATACCTGTATACTTTTTTGGCTTGTTGAGTCAATTACTAGTGAAAGGTAAGACTGAGTGTCTAACCCAATGTTCAGTTATTCTTTATTAACAAACTTGGTTGGTTTCTGACCAGTTACCCTGAAAAACAAAAGGTATATTTATTAGCCAGATAAAGTTATTTGTTAGCCAAACAGACTAACTACTAACACCACTTTCATTTGAATTGCACAGATACAAAAACTACACATTTTTGTTTCAATATCCAGTATATTAATATTTTTAACATTCAACAAGCTTACAAATGTGGCTTGTCATCTCATTCCTCACGCTTTATAAAGAAAAATTGTTGTCTTTAGCTGTCAGAGTAGAACATCTAAGCTACTCATTTCTATTATTCTTTTCATGAAAAACTTGTAAATAATGTATATTAAGTGTCAAGATAAAAGATAAATGGATTAATAAATCATTCTAAATGGCAGAAAAGTTTTAAGTATTAATCATTCTAAATTGTCTGAAAATGATAAGGTTATGCTTGATGGGAAAGTGTCCTGTTTATTGTTGTCACTTTAGGGAAAGGGACTGGAATTCTTATTTAAATTATTGATATTATACAATACCTTTAATAGAGCCTTGGGGGATAGAGTGTTCATCTCCCAATGAGGGAACCCTGGTTCGAATCCTAGCAGTGGCTGGTTGATATGAATTCTACTCTTGGCTCGCACTGACCACAGCGCTGCACTAAAATATCCTCAGTGGTAGGCTGATTATGGGATAGCCCTTGCTATTGGGCTAACCATGGGAGGTTTTCATGGTTTTCCTCACCCTGTAGTGCAAATGCGAGTTAGTTCCCTTAAAAAGTCCTGCCAGAAGGCTAGTTTTTCCCAAATGCTTGATCCAAGTGTTTCCTTGTCTTCTGGGAACTCCGTCTTCAAAATTACAAGGCTGTAGAGTTGAACATTGAAAGTCATAAACTCAGAATTGGGTCAATAAAAAAAATACTTTTAAATTTTAAAAGTTTTTCATGGAAATATTTCAAGTAATAGTTTGTCGCAGTGATTGTATCGTATAATTTATGTTAATTTTTCATCCAATTTGCATGGGTTGTTTACTTTTTATAGGTTTATATGTATACTGTGTATCATGGTTGGCTTCTTTCCTTGATCCTCTTCTTATTTATATCTCAACTAACACTCAACTATATCAAGTAAGGTTTTCCTTTCTAACACAATACCCTTATAGTTTCTTTTTGTTTTTTTGCTAATCCTTTTTCATGTACACTAACAATATAAATTTCTTATTCCCATTTTTTTAATGAAATGTTAAATTTTGTATGTAGAAAAGTTTCGTTATTCTTGTGCTGAAATATTTAGCTACATGATAAGCATAAATAAAGCAAAAATTAAAATTACAGGTAGACATTTTGATATTACAGTAGAAACTTTTTAATCAGAATATGGATTATTTAAATTATTGGATTACTTAAACCAATAGTTTCCTTGAATTTCCTAATAAACAATTTGAATTTTGGATAATTCTGTGATTTCAAATTTTATATATATATATATTCACTTCGTATGCTATTTATTATTGTAAGTGAACTTTCTACAGAATATTAGTTAATATTCTGTTGAAAGTTTAATTATTTTGTTAGCTATTAATAGTTTTGTGTGCATAATATGATTGTATCCTGCTCAATATGTTAAATTCGAGTTGAGATGAAAAAATAACGATCTTTTCTTTTCAAATTAATTTCTTTTTCAAGCAATAAATATCATTAATTCTTGGAACATATGTTATAAATTTGCTCTGAAATTAAGAATTTTAAATTTTTATAAAAATGACAGTTAAAGAATTTTAAAATTGAAGAAATTCTCAAAAAAAAAAAAAAAANAAAAAAAAAAAATTAAGAATAATCTTTAGAAGTCCCCATCAAATAGAAAGGTGATTCAATTATTTAAGTTCCTTATTTATTGAGTAGGTTAATGTTTTTGAATATTTCTTTCCTTCTTTTTATTCTTTAGAATATGTTCTATTGAACCAAATTTTAAAATTGTAAGTATTTTAAAACTTTTTGAAAGTTCAAGTTTTAAAAATGCTTGCAAATTAAAAACAAAAGCATTTAAAGCTTGTTTGCTGAATTTAATGAACCACATTTTAAAGTTAATACATGAAATGAAACAAAAGAATTCAAAAAGACTATTTTGTTCCCTAATGAAAATAGAAATTCCAGCCGTATAGGTCTGAATCTTGTAGGTTGATATGGAGGAGGTTGTATCTCTTTTCTATGTAAAAGGGACCTTTAACTATTTGCATCATATATTAATTATAAAATTTAAAGTCTTCTGGAAATATAACTTGTAACTATCTGATTAAAATTTTGAATTTGTAATAAAGTTTTTAAATAGTTATTGATATAGGTTATTTAAAATGCAATTCAGTTGTGTATTATTTAATTATTTTGATTTTAAATTATTATCTAAAGATCCTTAATACTGTTTATGATTTAATGTAACTGTCAGAACTTAATAAAAAAAAATGAGTACATTAATTTTAAGCTAAACTTAATAAGGTTGCTATAAAGAAAAAGCAAATTATACTTCTAGCATGAAAATGTGAAGTATGCATGAAAAAAAAATGATTTGTGGTTAAAAATGTTTGAAATTAAACAAAACTGGAAACAGAAATAAAGGACTAAATTTGAAAAGAAGCCAATTTCCTTATTTTATTTACAATTTATCAATTATTACAACAAAGATTTTCTAGATATCTCTTCTCTGAGATTACCTCTAAATTTCAGAATCTGATTAAGTAGATATTAAAACATTCTTTAACATATTTTTTGTATGCAGCATACTTCAGTTGTATAAACTATAGATTAACTATAGATTAACTATGTATTCCAAAAATGAGTCAGTGCCCATCTTTTAGTGCAAACCATATTAGAAATTTTTAAAATATTAGCAACTGTAAAAGAGTGTTTTTGAAAGTAAACTATTCTTTGTGAAAATATCTGTTTCCTATACAATAACTAATTCATTATTTTATGTTGTCTGTCGACATTATACAAAGTAAGATTTTAATAAACACATTCTTTTTGAATACACATTCGATATTAGTTTTTAAGTAGCCATTTATTATGGATCAAACTCATAAAGTTTAATACTGTTTGAAAAAAAATACTAAGTTGCATCAGAAAGAAGCTGCAGAGACAAGTATATTTTTTCATTGAAAATATTTTACTGAAATGAAAATTATGCTGATATTCAGCAATTATGTGGCTAATTGTAATGTGATTCTTCATATCTGCTGAATCTTTGCAAAATTCATACCGAAATAATGAATAACAATAATTTATGAGAAGGGTAATATTTGGAAACTTATTTTAAAATATTTCTAGGTTTTTGTGGTTTTTCTCTCTATGTAATGCAAATACAGGTTAGTGCTAGTTCCAGTAATAAGTCCTCCACAAAAGCTAGGTTCACTCAGTGCTTGATCTACGAAAAGTTCCCTTGTCTTTTAGATTGGGATCAAACTTACAAGGCTATGGAGTTGAATATTGATAGTCATAAACTCAGAACAGAGTGGGCTATCCAACTCCAGTTATAAAGTAAAAATATGCTGAACAACCATTGAATATTCTTATTGCGCAGCAACTTTAATAATTTTCAATTAATCAATAGGCTGAATTTGTGAAATTTTTTACAAAATTTGCTTCATTTGTTCTACTATTAGGTGTACATTTTGGAAGACACTGTCTTAAAATATATTTTTTTGATATACTTTTCTTTATTTTGTAGTTAAAAGTTTTTCCTGTATACATGTAATTGTTTTCAAAAAATATTTTTACTTCTATTTGTATTTATGTTTAATCAAAAATACTTTTAAATAATTGGTAAATGAATAAATTCTAATTTGTTTGTTATTCCATATTAATTATTTATGATACATTGTTTCAAATTTAATGCTAGAACCCTTTTTCAGAGGATGGTTTTTGAGTCCGAATGTTTCTAGGAAGCAGGATCATGAGGTAAAGCTTGTGTCATTTTTTGTTTAATATTTATTTTTACTATTAAATATTGATAAAACTGAAATATAAGAAAAATATTTACAATGGGTCCTTCGGCAAACCGAACATGTAGAATGTGGCAAAAATAGTTTAAAATGTTATTCAAATGTTTATTTATGTGAACATGAGTAGCATGTAACTGCAGTAGTTGTAGAAGTTATAGTAGTTGTAAAAAAACATATAACCAACACCTATGACTTATTTCTCTTATGCTAAAATGGTGTTTCATGCAAAAAAGTAACAAAATAGTTTTCCCTTTTAACATCTTTTATAATTTGTACTGGTTTTTATGCATTACTTTTTGTGGTTATTTCAAATTAAATGTATTATCTCAATTTTTTTTGAACCTCTAATTTGAGATTGATTATTGGGGAACCATAAAACTGTGAGTTGAGAAGGGTTATAGTTTTATGATAATTAAAGAGTATTAGCCATAGTGTTAATCTTAATGCATTTGGGGTTTTCATAATAATCTAAATTTAATTTTTTAGGTGGATGCTACCCATTCATTAATTTGTATGACTAAAATATTATTTTTAGATAAAAGTGTAATATTTTTAAGTGAACAAACAGAAGTAAAATTTGGCAAAAATAAAATAATAAGTAGAAGTAACAATTAAATTATATTCCTTCATCTTAAAACATAATAAATTCTTCATTTAGGTTCGCTGTCCAATTTTAATTTTTTTTAAAGAAAAAAATCTGAGTTAGAAACAAATTGAATTATTGCATTAATAAATTTCAAGCAATAAAAAACACTATTTTTGTAGGTTCTAAATATTCTTTGGTGGAAATATTTGTTATTTTGCTCTATTTTTAATGAATTTATTGTAAATTGTTTCTAAGGCTTTTTGTGAATGACACCTTTATTATGATTTTTATCTATATACTTAAAAAAAGAGAAAAAAACAACATAATCTCCTTAAACTTGAAAATATTTTGAGTAAATCAAAAATGAAAATTTGCTTTCAAAATCTAATAGCTAAAATTTTGACTTACAGGAAACTATAGGTGACTTCATACTACATAGAATATCATATATTTTTATTATGATTTTTTTGAATTTTTACAAATAGATAATAATTAGTTTTAAATTTTTTTTAAATATTTTGTTATTTTTTTTTTACCAGAAAAATGTAATTTTGCTTCTAAATGAGTGTCTCCTGTAATTGCTTATTTGAGAAATTAAAGAAAAATGAATTTTATATTGTATTTTAGGAAGGAGATTTGGGGGTGTCTGATAAGTTTCAACTGGTTCTTCAAGTAGCTAGAAAAGTACAGGTTTGTTGACTGCATATTAGCTCACATTTTCTTTACTATCATAATTAATTACCATTGATATTTATATTATTTTGTACATTACAGAATAAATTAGGTTATATGGCTGATTGTTTAGAGAAGATTAAAAAGTAAGCATCTCTCTTTATCTTTTCAGTTTTAGAATTCTATAAATTATTTTATCAATCAAAAGTTTTACTTATTACTCCTCCCTTCTTCTATGATATTCTATATAATATCTTATATATTTTGTTTTACAAAGCTTGAACATATATTTTATTTGACTGTATATTTGGTTCAGAAAAGTGTTTCAGATCGTGGGTGATTAGTGTTTTAAATTTTTTTTGACAATTTATTTTTTTATCTCACTGAAAATATTTTTATTTTAAGGCGCGTAAATTCACTTAGCTGGGATTTAAATGTGCATTAACTGCTGGTTTAAGCAGTTTTAAACGAAAAAAAAGTTCATTTTAATTTTTCATGATAAATTGCATTTCTGGTAAGATGAAAATCCAAAATTTCAATTTAATTTTTAATTATTAATATTCTGACGTCGTATATTATAATTTTAAAATATCTTAATCTAAATTTGTAAAGCAGTGAAATTATCCCTTACTAAAATAGATTTTTTCACTGTATGTTATTGAATAGTATTTACTATTTATATTTTTATTATTTATATTTTAAGGGTGCCTTAAAACTTGATCTAGATTTGAATTTCGTATTTTATGCATCAATCAAAAAATAAATTTTCACTAAAATGCTGTGTTTTCAGTTAAAATTGTTTTTTGAAATTGAATATGTGAATTTTAGGGCTCCCTTAATTATTTAATTCTAATTATACATGTTTAGTTATAACAAATGATATATTTTGAATATATTTTCCAACAGTGTTCGTACAATGATTAAGTTATTATGAAGTAATTTATTAGCATATTTATATAATTTTCTATTATTTTTTATTTTTTAATGTTTAATTTTTATTCTTCTCAGTGAAAGTACAAAAAAAGTAACATTTTAATGCAATAATAATTACATTGGTATAATTTTGAAAAAGCACACTTATTTATTAGTATAAAATGTGCTAATTCATGTGATTTTCAATCTTACAGTTTGATGTTATGGCAGCAGATGGAAGTAACTGCCCATTTATATTTTGTGTTCATTCTTGGCTTCATTGCATCATGTATTTTTTCTGCACATCAGTTATTCACTATAATGGGTAAGCATGAATTATTTTAATATTATTCGTAAACTTGTGTAACTTTTTTCGACTTCAATAAATGTTCAAATTTTTTGAACTTGATGTTTTAATTTAATGAAAATATTTTCTATTCAAAACATAACTTTATAGAAATTTTTTTTTAAATTTTAAATTTTCAAGAATTTGATTTTGATAAAATAAACATGACAAATAAATATTTTATGTATATTTTTTTTAAAAATTGTTATTTTTTTAAAATAAAAAAAAATTAAAAGTTAAGTGTTTAACACAAAATGTCTCATACTTAAAACTTCTGCTCAATTGAGAAACAATAATAAATACTTTTGAAAATCTCTTGAATTTAAGTTTTATTAAGGATATCGATTTCATTAGTAAATTCTTATTAAAGATATTAAGATAAAAAGTAGCTTGAATAACTACCAACAATTTTATACTCTTGTATGTGATAATATGGTTATACACATGTGTAAGTATGTATATAACTTTATGGTTGAATTTGTATCTCTCTGATTAAAGATTAGATTCAAATTTGTTAAATTTGTATCTAAATTTTAGATAACATATTTTATAGAAATTAATATAATTAAAAACCTATGTTTTTTTAAAAATCTTTATACTTTAATATTAGATTAATGCATTTTTAGCTATGAAAAGCCTATAGAATGACCAGACTTATTGGCTTTCTTAAGAATCCAATTTAAATCAATTCATTCTTTCTTCTATCCAAGTATATCTTTAACTCTCAACTGCTATCTTCAATTCTTTGATGTCAGTGAGCAAGTTTTAATCATTTCTTTACTATGATAACTATTTGTTTTCAGAGCTAACTTAAAACTATCATCAGTACTGGAAACTGTTAATATTATTTTGCGCTGAAAAAAGTACTTCTCTTCGCCATTATTGTTACAATGCATATTCCTTTAAAATTGTGGCTGCCCAGTTACTATTAAAATTTTTTTAAACTCAGTTGTGGTTTAATTTTTTTGCGAATTAACATAAGAAAGGTATTTTCCAGCTTCATACCCATTATGTTAACACTTGTGCGAACCTATTTGTAAATTTTAAAAGATTTCCATATTTATTTGGAAAGTCTGAAATCTGTTTGGAAATTAGGGACAAAAAATGGCTTGGATACAGATGAACCTTTATATAAATAAAACATGAATGGGTGAAACAATATATAGATGAAACAATGTATAAAAATAGATGAAAAACCTATTAGGAAAGATATGATTAATGTAACTTTAAATTGTAATTGTTTTTTTGTAGCAAGTTTAAATAGATATCAGTGGTAATCATTTTTTTTAAAGCTGTGATTTGTTTGTGATCTGGCTGCAAGAAAGTATCACCCAGGCTTTAAAAAGGTTATTCTGTACATTGTTCATGTTTATGTTTTTTTGCTCACTATATTTTAATTTTCAGGATTTTATATGGGTGTTAAATTCTTCATCATCGATTACATTTTTTTTCGATTTCCACGAGTGCAACAAAAGCACGATACAACAGCTAGATTGTGGAAAACTTTGCCAACTGATGCGCAGCTGGAGAGGAAACATAATAGAGCAGAATTGGATAAGGTATCATCCTACGATTATAACAATTATAGACTTTTAAATATTTATTTCAAAATTTTAGTTTTATATTGTTTATCTCTTTTTAAGAAAATTTTTGCTTCTTGTGGCTTTGCTTAATGACTTCTGAATGGCCGAACTAATTTTCAACATTTTGCTCTACTTTGCCATATTTTTCATTTTCATGTTTTGAGTTGTATGTATGCAATGTAAAGAAAAAAGAAAAAAGTTTTTGAAAAATCGTTTTTAATTATTTCTGAGTCAACTGTTACAAAAATAGCATTGTTGCAGTTTGTCTATATTTTTAATTTTATAAAAAATAGAAGTAATAGGTTGGAGCAAAATTTTATGATTAATAAAGAGGCTCTTACAAATCTCAATTTTAGAATTTACTACTGCTTGCTAACCTTGTAACTGCTTGTGTAGTTCATCATAGTTTGTGTAGCAAAGCTATCTTTCAGATAGCTTTGCTGGCTATTTTTGCAGTAGTCTTGTTTAACATCTCATCTTTTACACTTTCATATTTTTTTTTACTTCATTTATTTTGCATTAAATGGGTCCCAGTATTTGTATAGTATTCTTTTAATTATTCTGTGTTTAAAAACTTGTGATAGATAAAAATTACCATATTTTAATTATTCATTTAAATTATATCTAATTATTTCAAGTATGATTTCAATTGAGGTTTACATTATATATTTTAGCTGGTTGTGAATCAAAGCATTTGTATTGGTACTTCGTTATCATCTGAAAATCAAAATTTTTGTGAACTTTTCAATTTGCCAACTACTGAAACACCTCTTCCAGGTACAGTATTTTTCAGACTTACTGGTTATTATTTTTTCATGTATCTAATTTCTCTCTTTTTTTCTCTCAAGACTGTGATTTAAATACATATTTAATGATACTTCTATTAGATTATTGTCTCATTTTTGTTCTCTAGCTATGTTAGAAGTTATATTAAATTAGGATATTAATTTGCATTTTGATTACATTCAGAGCCGTTTTTAAGGATGGGCGTAGACTTTTACACCCATGTATGTCTTATGGCTCAAAAGTTTGCCGCTCTTAAAGTTTTGTAATGTTTCTGGTGCGGCCGTTCCGCAATTATTAACAATGCATTTAGTTCTGAAAGTGGCTTAAAAGATAGGTAACATTATCATGTGTGGATTTTAGAGCTTGAAAATATGATTGGGCACAAGCATGCTACAAGGATTTACTTCTCAAGAAAATGAATGCTTAATAGATATAGTTTTAACTGATCAGATGAACAACCAAATCAATGATTGAGAAGTATTCAGAAGAATTTTAGAAGTAACAAAGTTTTTAGCATCACGATGTCTAGCATTCTGTGGAGATGGTCAGACAATTGGATCGCAGTATAATGGATGGAAATTATTTGGGAACGTTATAACTATTGAATAAACATGGCCCTTTTTCTTGCTGGACTTATAAACAATTATGGGAGCAAGGGTAATGGACATACATCTTATTTATCAACTTTGATTTGTAATTTATCGAAGCTGAATCAATTGTAGAATATAAAGTATTAAACAAAATAACAGCAGAACTGAGGAAAGCAAAATATTTTTATGTAAGTATTGATTCAACACCAGACATTTTCCATGTGGATTAGCTGACATTTGATGTCCGATATGTGAACGTCGGAATTGGCATGGAACTTTTGGATTTTTTTTCAATTGAAAGGCATTAATCTGAGTACTTGTCTGATACTATTGTATCTTTTCCTAATGACCAAGGCATAACTATAAGTGATTGCCGAGGACAAACGCAAGATAACGCATCAAAAATGGCAGACAAGTACTCTGGTTTATAAGCAAGGTTAAAAGAGAAACCTCCCACAACATTTTTTTTACCATGTCTAGCACATACTTTCGTGAAGAAGCCGAGAGATGCCTCTTAGAGGATTATTTCCAATTTTTGCAGAAACTTGACTCCTTTTTTTTCTCAAGTCCTACCCATCGGTGGAATATCTTAACAAAATGCTTAGAATTTGGACTAGTCGTAAAGTGTCCATCAGATACTATGTACTCCACCCATTTAGACACAGTAACGGCTCTGCAAGAAAGTTAAGGAAAAATTATGGCCGTTCTTCAAATTTTAGAAAAGAACAAAGAGCGTCTAGAAGCTGGACACGATGCTCTCTGGGCTCGATGGTCCCTTCTAAAGAACCGATGGACTCTTCTAAAGAAATGGAAGAAGTTGGAAAATATTGTGTTGACAGAATTTTGTGGTGATATGTTATCAAGAATAAACCAGACTTCAGTAAACATACAGATTCCTTCTTCTCCTTCTCACTTTCTTTGTCTTCCTTTCAATGATGGTCTGAAATTGATTGAATCCTTGATTACTTTTGTGAGGGAACAGAAAGAAAAGTTCTCTACTTATAAAACCATTTTTGAGGAAAATTTACTTAATTTTAAAGCTGAAGATAAGATGACGCGTACTTCTTCAAGAATTTCTCTTTGACATTTTATAATGGAGATGCGGATGTTATATTACAAAGTAGCGAAATGTTTGAAGTTTATCTCCCAGTAATTAACACATCGATTAAAATATGTTAAGGAAATTAATCTCTTTCAAATTAAAATCTCTTTTAAACAATAGCTGATTTGTTCATTTTTTTTTCTCCAAATTTGAGTTCCTTAACTTCCAAGAAATTAATACTACACTGTTATAGTTTTTGAAGATTTTATGCCAATGATATGAATGAAAAAGAACTAGTGCTATAATTAGAACATTTCCAGTATTATTTGGCTTAGATTAAGTTAGACCAATTAGGAATAGATGAGATGTACAAAAAGTAAAAAACTACTATCTTGAAGACACATTTCCATACATTGACATTAGTCAATTTTTTTTTATGAGTGACATTTTACAATTGTCACTCATGTTAACTGAATGTAGTGGCACATGTTCATTCTCCAGATTAAAATTAATGAAGCACACACTAAGAAATAGCATGACTTAAAAAAGATTGAATCATTTCCCAATCATGAACATTGAACATGATATCTTGCAAAAAATTGATTTTAATGATGTGTTCGAAATGATGTGCATAAAAAAGCATTGCTACCTTAAACTTTCTATGCAAATAATGTATTAAAGCTTTTATAATAATGTATCATTGCTTTACTTTCTTAAAATAAAAAGTAAAAATTATTCAAAAATAATTTTTTTTTTAAAATTTCCCATATAGGGCCCCCAAATGAAGACAGACCCTGGGCCCCTAAAAACTGCTCTGACTACATTTACATATTTATGTAAAAGTTCAATTAGAAGTATGGTGCATTTCAAACACTATGTAAATTTGTAGTAAAACCCATAACCCTTATTTATTAAGATATTAATTTTGAGCTTTTTTTTTTGTTGTAAAAAATTAAGTTATCTACTTTTATGCTGCGGGAACTAGATACTCTTTATGGTTTTTAGTAATAAAACATATAAATTAAATTTATGAAAAATAAGTTTCACACATTATTTTTTTTGAGAAGGTTGATAGTTAAAATATATTTTCTAAGCTAATAGGGTTGATAGAATGTTGAGAATAATTGTACAAGTGGTTGAAATTGGTTATACTTCGCTTATATATTCTGAACAAAATAGTTAGCTAAGCCTTGTAATGGTTTACTAGGGTATCTTTGAGTCATGGAACTTCTGTTTACCTAAACAAGGAGAACCCCTAAGTAGATCTAGTTATTAGGTTTTTGTTCCAAGTTATAATTCTTTATATTTGTTATATATTGTATTTACACTTTTCTTGTAATTACTTTATTTAGCTTGGCATGGTGGCCGAAGATGCACTCTAATAAATAAGGATAAATCATTGACTGCTGCTTTTAAAAATGGACGTCTGTATTTGACAAACAGGTTTGTTTTCTTTCCTAAAACTGTTTTATTATAAACAATTAGATTTAAGCAGTTAAGTCGAAGAAGTGTTGGAATATAAGGAATTTATCTAAGCTGTTGCTTCTGAAGCTACCATTATTTTGATAAAAGTTTAACCCTTGAATGTCAAATTTTTGTATATTTAAATAGGTTACAATTTTAGCATGCAACTGCCTGAAAATTTTTTAAAAAATTACATTATCTAAACTATAGCTCATTAGGTATATTTATGTATCATTAGTATAAATATTATTCATTTTTCATGAAAGTGATTAATTCAATTATTTAATCAATTTGAGCCTTACCCACTAACCTTTTTCATTTACCTAACATAAACATTGATACACCCAAATCCCGAAATAAAATATCAGATATTATTTATTTTAAATATTATATGTTCTATCAGTGATTATTTATTATTACTTTCATACTAAAATGCATCATATTCAAGCAATTATTATGTGCACAATTTTTTTTCCAACAGTGCTAAAAATGGGAAGATGTGCAAATGTATGCTTATTTATGAAATGAATGAAGCTTATGAATGTATTCTTATTTATGAAAATATAAAGTACATTTTATTTTATATGAAATTTAGATTTTAAATGTTTGAAGAAAAGAAAATGTATCCTCACCTTAAACATGGTTTATGTTTTGAAACATGTTATTCAAATGAGATTGGTGACCACTAAATATATATTCTACTAATTTTCAAATCAAAGGGGCTTTTTATAATATTAATAAAAACTTTATATTTAACTTATTAATGGCTCGACAGTCCAGATAACCGACTTATAAGTGTTATTATAGAGAAATTTATTAAGTCATTGACCTATCACATAACCTGATTCCTGTTAGCTTTTGATGTAATAGAAATATTATTATGCATTTTTTAAAATCAAATTACAGTGGGCTCCTGACTATCAGGTTAAATGTGGAAGAGTAGGCCTGATCTAAAAATGAAAAAACCAGATAGAACCAAGATCCACTTTCTATTCTCTTTCCTTTGTTATTAAGCATATATGTTACACAACTTAAGATAAATGATTAGCTCAAAAATAACTCAAAAATTCATGAATTACAAACTACACAGTTTTTTCCAGTTTTGTTATCAACAGGATAATGGGAGGAGGTTGACAACACAGGACCTCTTTATCAACCTCCTCCTCCCATAGAACTTGGACCAATGGCGAGTTCTAATATTCCACTTTTTTTACTAGGCTATTTAGTACAGCGGCTGGGTAGTCGAGAGCCTACTGTATATTTTTCTATAACATGGATGGTTTAAATATTTTTATCTTATTAATTTCAGTATGTCAAAAGTAAGTAATATTTTGTAGTAAAGCGCATACTCAGAATTAATTTGGGAAAAAAAATTATAGAAGTCCTATGGATGGAATTATTTTCTTTATATAATTTAATTCTTTAACACTGGGGACATTTTTGTTGTTATTTTAATTACCTATTTTCTGTTTTAGTTTTCTGTGCTTTGAACGTTCTAAGTCTATCACCCCTAAGAATTTAGTGTTAGCTTTGAGAAACATTAGTAAAGTGGAAAAGGTGAGAATCGATCATTTCATAAAAATGTTTTTTTAAATGTCTTAAAACTGAATGGGTCTCTGTGAATAATATGAAATAAACTAAATTTGCTGTTATTTTGATTTATAGGCAAAGCCGTATCCTTGGATTCCTGGTGGTGGAATGGCTATTGAAATAACTATGATTTCTCCTGAAAAGGTGACTTTTTCAATATTTTTTTTTATTTGTATATGTTTTGAATTGAGTTTTTTTGTGTGTCATTATTGATAACGAATGTAATGGTTATTACAAAGCAATAATTTTTGTATTAAGTTTGAATTCTATTATATTCTTATTTATAATATTCTTTTGATAGACAATATGTATGTTAATTTCACAAGAGCAAGCCTTTCACTAAACATTTTTAGGAAAATTTTCACAATATCAAGTGTTAGTATATTTTGAAATTTCATGATCAGAATTTTAGAGATTATTAAATTTTGTTAAAGACTACCCCATACTTTGCCAAGAAAGTTACAAATTTAGACTTGGAAAAAAAAAACATTAAATTAACTGAGCTGTCAACTTTAGCACTAAAGATTTTTTGCGGCTGGTTGTATGGATATAAATTATAATTTGAGATAGCTTTAATTATGATCTTTTTAAAGTATGTTGACATTAAAAGGGAATTTTTTTTTTTTACAATAGAATGTGTTGTTGCCAATGAGTTAACATTAAAAAGTTTCTATACATTTGATTCTGTTGTAGAGTAATTATTTAATTTATTTCAGTATGCATATAATTAAAAATAGATTACTTTTAATAAACTGCATTAGGGCATGTAAATTTGTTTTCTGAAAAATCAATCAAATTTGTTTACTGAAAATTCTTCATTTGAAAACTTTTTTTCTAGAATTATGCAACAGTTTTGTTAACTTGTGATTTATAGCATTCTTAATTCTTTTAAATACTTTTAATAAAAGACTTGTGTGAAGTGTTAATTTTTATTTATTTATCGCAATTCATCATTTGGTACTATTTTTTAATAAAGAAATATGATAGCCCAAGATTACTACAACTCCAGAATAAAAGCCTATGGATTACGATTTTTTAAAGTGTTAAACAAGATAGGTGCAATTTACAGAAGATTATTACCATTACCGTGTAATAATATTATAAAAATTATCTTTCTTCAGAATTTGCTAAATGTATTATATATTTTTCGTATCAGTTTTAGACAATGATAAAAACGTTCAGACACATAAATTTATTGAAATTAATTTCATGTTCTAGAGAACATCGACTTCTAGACTGATCTCAGAAATAAAATAAATTAGACTTTAAATGTATAGAACTAAAAATTGAACTTTTTAATAATTTTTTTAAAAAAAGGTATTGATCTCTGGAGTTTGCTAAACATTGAAATTTTTTTTAATTGGATAACATTAATATTTCATTTTTCATCAAATTCCATTTTGTGATATTAATATGCTAGTTTAATCCAATTTAATCTGTCTTGGAACTAATCTGTTTAAATTGTAATTTTCATGAATTTAATACATTAAAAAAATCTCCTGCAACTGAAACAAAACTTTTATCTACTTAGATAAACTTATACCTGATTCCGTAAATTAAATAAATAAATAGGTGTGTGTGTTTGTATCTTTTCAAAATAAAATAATATTCAGTGCAACTTAAAGATTTTATACGGAATTTGAGGTCTTTAATTTACATATGTTACATATTTAAAGACATGTGAGTGCTTCCTCAACTATTTTAAAAATTAGGTTTATCCTGAATTAACAAAGTTATTTAGGATAACAAATTACAGTGGCACAAAGTAAAGACGTGTGATTTTAATTTGATCATATAGATCATTGATTGTTCAAATAATATCTTTATTAGACAAAAAATTCTTTCGTTGAGTTTAATTCATTTAGTTTCGGCAACCTTTGTTGCCACTCTTTTGAATTTTAAAAATGTGCTTATAGTTTCTACAAAGGAAATATGAGCACAGTCGAACTGGGATTCATCTATCCTGCACTTTTCGTTTTCCAGTATGTATCATCTTGTTTCAACCCTCCCATCACAAATGCTATTCCTATAATGTTAATATCTGCTTAAAGTGCTTTTGATTTCCACATTTGTTATTCAGATTCTAATAAAAATTGAAGTTATTTTATTTTGAGTAGAAAAACATTAATTCCTGATAGGAATTAATAAAAGGAAGATTTTTTAAGGAAAATGCTTCAAATATCACTTTTGATATGTATGCATCTGTTGAAATTTGTGTTATTGTTTCAAGAAATGGTTGCCTAAGCTAAAAATGTGTGGAGTGGTACCGGTGAAGGAAACAAAGCAGAACTACAACCTGTGCCAACATTTGGGGAAGGCCTCAAAGCATTTGAAACAACAAGGAACTTTCTACCTTCTCATGAACTTAAAGAAAATGAAAAGCCAAACTGTTACACATGTCGAACATTTACTATTTGTTCTGAGAAGAAAATATTACTTCAAACTAAAATGTTTATTTATTTTAAATAAATAAATGTATTTAATTATCTTTCTCTTGCATCGTAAATAGAAACATTTATTTGTTTTTGTAATAAACACATAATTTTTTTTACTTAAAATATAATCGGTTATTTTATGTTAATCTATTGAATTTCAGGAGGAACATTTGTCATTTTCTGGTTTACATCATTTGCAATAAAGGATTATATAAGAAACAATCAATCAAGGTTCTACTCTATTACAGGGTTTTTTGCAAAGCTTTTCACACATAGTTTTTCTTGTAATTGTTCTGACTTTCTATCTTGTTTTACATGATAACTTCTTGTATCATATATTGAGATCTAACTAAGATTGCACTATTGATGTCATAATTATCTAAACAGAAATTTTTAATTTCTTAGAAATTCTTAATTTATTGCATATTTGAAACAAAATGCAATATAGATCTAAATACTATGCACTACCCAATATTTTTATGTGTTATTGCTACAGTTTGAAATTTTGTCATAGAGGATTCGAAGTTATTTCTAATCGTTTCACTGCTATTTTTAAAACTCAATTTGTTTTTAAATTTATTATAATATTTTTTTGTTAGAGATAGATTGAATTTTTTTTTATATTTTAGACTTACATATTTGGCGCCATATTAAATAGAGATGAAACTTTGGAAAGCATTATAGATGCGGGATCAAAAGCAGGTTTAGCTTGGGCATCTGCTTCTGCTATCACATCAATGCAGTCAGAGCATGAAGAAGCACAGCCAACTACAAGCACAAAGAAAACGACATGATCAACTCATTGTAGCCTATTTCACTCATCTTTCCCAGTCTTGTTGCTTTCTGTGTGTAATATAATCCTTAAATAAGAGCTTCAGATGTACATTGAATCATCATTTGCATGTGATTCATATTTTGATAGAATTTAATATTACCTTCTATGAGCCCCTTTTTTGTCATCCGCCAAGATGGTTAATGGAATTTCCATTTCTTGTTTTAGATGATTGTTGATGTTCATTATTTTAAATTCTTATTTTTTTTTATCATCTGCTGAATAAAGTCATAGCCTGAGATATTTTTAGAAATTTATGTAATAAGAAATTACTTTGAGAATNTATCATTTTTTTTTTTTTTTTTTTTCAAATGGTAGTACAAGTGACATTGAAGTTGAAAACATAAATGTATTAATTGCTTAATTTTTTTTGTTTTATTCTATTTATTTGCTCTTTTTTTTATAAACAACTTCTACTTTATTGTTTTATATCCTTGTAATATTTTCTCGCTTGTAACTTATTTTGATCCTGTTATTAAACAGTTTTATTTTCCAAAAAAGTAAAAGAAAATCCAAAATTCATTGTCTTCTCAAAAAAATTTCTTCAAAATTTTAATAATAATGATTTCTTAAACTTAAATAAGAGAGGCAATTAGTGGTAATTATATATTTTTTATGAATTCTCTTGAATTATAAATTTTAAAATTGTAAATCAAGATTTTACATTCTTTTAGTAAAATATTTGTAATACATATTCAAAAAAAGTTACTAAATTGTATTAAATGAAAAAGTAAGCTATAATAGTATAAAATAATTGCTTGTAAGTGAGATTTTTACTAAAAAATTATCTTAGCAATATTAAATTTCATAATTTGTTAATGTTATATAATGGTTTGTAAAAGCTGGTAATTATAAAATTTCAAAATTTTTCAATTTGTGGTCATTACTTTAAGAAACTTCAGCAGCCGTCCATAAATAATATTTGTTTTTCAAGCGTATATACAATTAAATTTTTTGTGTATCTATAATTATCCTCAGACCGTTATAAATATAATTGTTAGTTCAGAAATAAAACTATTATAGTTTTCTTACCCTCCTCTGCAGATTCTAAATTGAAAGTTTTTGATTATACATTTATTGCAAGTGTTATAGTAGTATATATTTTTTAACTGTCAATTTGAAGAAATTTGTTTTTAGAATTAACATAACTATTTTAAAAATTAAAAAAAAGGTCTTATTTTTTAAAATTTTTATTTGCTTTTTGTTGACAAAACTGCCATTTTTTTTAAAAAAAGTGTTATGCTTGGTGATTTAAAAATAACAAAAAGGGTTTTTAATCTTGGCATTAGAAAAAGGACTGAAAGTACTATGACATTTCATAGCAAAATATGTGAGTCCATGAAGAAAAATGCTTACAAATTTGATTGTAATGGTAAAAAATTCTGCAAAAGTATGTAAATTAAAATGCACTAAAATTTAAAGGATAAGTTTAATCCAAAACAAATAAGTAATTTCAATGACAAGGTATCAGATAAGAGAAGTGCAGCATCACATTTCTTGTTTAAGGAATCATATAAATTTGTATTATTGCTGACTATAGTTAATTGTAGTATGTATATACTTTCTAATTATCTTGAATTCTGAATTGATATGTTAAAATATTATTTTTTGGCTATGGAAGTTCTGTTGTATTGTGATTCAGTACTTTTTTAGTAGCAATATTGAAAACACATTTTGTTATTTTTGGATCGCTCTGTATTATGTGTGTTAATTTAATATATTTACCCAGGGCCTAATAAAAATAAATTTATCGATTCATTAAAATGTATTTGAAATCTATCTTCAGCATACATAACTTAAATTCAATGTTAAAAATAAATTTTAATTTTACCATTCTTAAAAAAATTGCTGCAGGATACGTTAATAAGTCCTTGGACTAGGCCTTTCATGTCTTCTGTGGATCAATAAAATGAGTACCAAGCATGCTTCTAGACTAAATGTTGGAGGTTCCGCTTTCAGCTTATCGCTCAACTGTAACATCTGCTTCTGTACTCCAGAGCCCAAGGTCAAGAAAACTAGGATGGTAACAGTACTTCAAGGGCTGTCTTGCCATTGGGTTCAGTTTAAAGTGATAAAAACTACGTACTTTTTTTCTTTAATTTCTTGCTATTTTCGTGAGAATTCAAACATGCCAATGCTAAAAAGTTTGATGCAGATTTAACAATATTAAAACAAATGATGACTAACAATTATGTTATTTTAGAAAGTATTTTGTAAAATTATGTTTTAATACTAAAATTTTGATTCTGTTTGAAAAAAAAGTTTTTTTTGTTACTTTTTATGTAAGAGATCTCAAATTTTATTACAGTCAGGTTTTTTATTCCTAAAATAAGCTTTGAAACTTTTAATAGTGTTCTTTATTATGTTTATTCGTTTTTAAAGTATATCTGTTTTTGAATGTTTTTGAAAATTTTCTTTTTTTGTTTTATTTTATAAGACTTGGTAAAAGAAATACTTATAGTTTTTAGAGAGTAATATTTCTATTTTTTTTATATTATTAATTTTAACTATAATATTTATATTTTTTGAATGCAAACAAAAGTTTGCATTGAAAAATATAATAATAAAAGCGAAACATAGTTTTAAACTTTGAATCAGATTCGAAACTGAAATGTAATTCTTTTTATGAAATGTACCGATTATTTTTACATTCATAATAATCATCATGGATAGCCAAATATCAAGGCAACTTTCTCTTCCATATTTGGTACTACATATCATGTGGTCTAGATTAAGGGATAATGCCACTTAGGAAATTAAATTAACTGAAAGCCTTTATCTTTACAAAAGTATTCAAGCTTATTCAAACTAAGGAAAATCAAGATTTTAGTCTTGGGAAGTTGTTTTGTTTACATTGTTTATATAAGAGAAAACCTGATACCTTATACATATGCCCTATCAAAAAATAATTTTATTTACCCTAATATAAAGTTCTCAACCTGTCCAAAAGTAAAGCTTTTGTTAAAATTATTCATCCCATATGAAATATAGTATGCTGATAAGACATCAGCATTTTTGTTATCGAAAAAATAATTTGTTTCTAAATGCCATAGTTTTTTATTACAATTTATGTATTATTATAATCTGAAACCAAAATTTCTTCTGAATTTTATTAAATAGTTTATTTTAGTTTACAATTTGTGTATTAATCATACCTTAAACCATGGTGTTCTCTATTTTTAGAAAAATTAGTAATTTTAACTAACATAAATTTTGATAGACTTCTGGATTTCATTAATGTTTTGATTTTTATTGAAGATCTAAAACCAATTACAATTTTGAAAAAAAAATGGTGCTTATTTGAATAAAAAGTAGTTATTTGATATTAAAATACATAAAATTGTTCACAAAAACTTATAAAAACATTTTTAAAAAAATCGAGAAATTACTTTTAATTAAAATTATTTTTAATTTCAGCTGAATGAAAATGAAGCTAGAAAATATTTTTTTTAAGATTGTTTTTAGTATGTTAGTTTAATTCGGTGAAATTTGTTGGTAAGAAAATGTTTTAGACTTTTTTTTCCTTTAACTATGAATGTAGATTGTTATTTTATCTGTCAAACATGAACTTTTATACTTCACCTAATTTTTAGGCACCCTAAAACTGAATAGAATATGTATAACAAACTATACAAAATCGTGCAACTAAAACAAATTTTATATAACATTTATTTTTTAAAGGAAATATTGAACCTCTATTTTCTGTATTTTAGAGTGGCATTAACCCTTCTTCATAATTGCATTTTTGCTTTCAGATATGATCAAATGCCAAATGAAACGCTCATTTATTTGACGCCAAACCATTAATTAATATTATTGTGTAATGTACATAGCTGTACAAATTTTTTATGGCAATGCATCTCTTAAATAATTATGTTGCTATTATTGATATAAATGTATTTTAATTGGTGTTGAAACTGAGACAATTGTCATAAATGTGAATGCACTTTTAAATTTTATCTTGTGCTTTTATTTTTAACTCATGATAATTGTTTTTTTTCTTTATTATTTGGTATTTAAAGGTTTATAGAATAAATGTGAAACTTTTGTTAATTAATCTTGATTGATATTTTAAAGCATATTTTTATTGTGTATCTTCTATTAAAAGTAAAATGTGCAGGGATAATCAAATTTACCGATATTAAAATGAGTCCAGTTTATGAAGATAAATGTAATTAGAAGTTAAATTTTTTTAATTTTTTTAAATAGATTGGAAAGTAATAAACTTATATAAATAATGCATTATTCATATGCTTAGCATTTGTATTAAGAAGAATAGTAAGAGATAAAAAGCATAAAAAAATATCTAGTTAATAAAATTAGCAAATTTGATGATTCATCATCTTCAGTGCCAAGTACAATCTAAATTGTATTTTGCATTGAAAATGATACTCTAGAATTTGCATCTTTGAAATTAATATCTAGTATTTTAATACAAGAGAATCCTAATTATCTTACACTCCCAGTATCTGGGGTATGTCTGAAAATTAAATCATCATATAATCCGGGGATATTTTCAAGTAAATATTTTAAGTTTATGAATATTAAACTCTGAGTAAATTTACTAAAACTCAGCAGTGACGGTAATAAATATTTGAAAAACATTAAAAAAAATTTTCTATCATAAATAACAATATAATATCATTAAAAAAATTAGTAATACATGTTTATTTTCCATTTGATTTCATTTTCCAGCAGCCAGATTTAGGGTTCATTGTAACCATAATAATTGGGTTGCAATAATGGTGAAATTATACTATTGATAAATAATACGCTTTTAGCATTCCTTGGACAAGGTGTCAGATAATTTGGGTTCTGCTGTATAATGTATTTGGTATTTTTTTAAAAATATTTTTTTGTATTCTTCATTAGCATTTGGTTGATTCAAATATTATTAAAACCAAAGTGTATTGATGTAAATGGTATAAAATATAGTATTTAAATTCTGAACCCCTTCTATTAGTTTTTAAATCAACTATAATTCTACCTAAACATGACAAAAGTTGTTCTCTTTTACTGTATTTGCAATTGCCTCTTGTAATCCATCCATATCAGTTTAAAAATTGGAGAGAACTATTTCGGGGTTAAACTCTCTGACAATCATGGAAATACTTGATTAATTTGCTTAAAAAGTCTAATGAAGTCTTTGGGTGGGTTTTGAGTAGTTGAAACTGTCACGTTTTAAAATTACTTAAAAGATTGCAATTGTAAATGTTCAAACGCCAGAAAGCAGAAATATTATCCAATTTTTCTCTTTTAATATTAA